AATCAGCATTGTGTAAAAATCTCAAGCGGCCAAGGTCTTGTCATTTGCCGGAAAATTTGGCTGATGACCTAGTCGTTGCAAGACCTTGATTTGCGTTGCTTTTGACAGAGGGAAGCAGGGGGCCAATGAGTGATTATAGGGGCCAAGTTGGTAGTATTTTAATATGCACTATGAGACCATGGCTGAGGATTGCTGGATAAAACCACTGTACGGTCACTGTACCCGAAGCTCTCAATCATCTGACAGAAAGAGATTGAAGCGCACCACATTATCTAGGAAACTTCCAGCACATATTTGACAGAAGTCTGATTAGTGATAACGCTGACGCAGCATGGAAAGATAAATAGTAGTAGATAGATACCAGATACCAAATCAGTCTCCGAGTTCCTAGCCGAAAGATGTAAACTACTCCGTATTAAGGTACTCATACGTCTCCAAGTATTCCATAGAGAGCCCAGGAGGATTGAAACTGAGTGTGGGACAACTCCGTAGTGCCGTGGATGGGCCGACGCTAAAGAGTGCAAATTAAGGACAAGACACTCCCCAAAATTTCCGGTTACCAGCAGACCTGGTAAATAAAGTCATAATGGTGAAAATGAAATGGCGTCCATACACAGAGGAATTATGGCTGGCTGTCTTTCAATGTACATTGGAGTATCTGGTTCCTCTGATCTGACAATGCATTACGACAGAGAAGAGTATATCAGGAGTCAATATTCTATTGCAAAAGGACCTGCACATAACCTAGTAGTAGTACTCTAAGTAGCACGATGTAATTAAACTGGGGACCTTTGATGCTATGTACTAACTAGATAGAGCATTGTGATTACGATGCTACAGAGTACGTACCTAGGTACTACGGAGTATCTACTCCGATACCTAGATAGATACAACGAGGATGTACCAGTGTCTTGTGCATTCATCATATAAATAAAAGTGACTATCAAATATTACACAGCACACCAGTTAAGGATCTCCTTCTATCTTAGATGGAACCTCTCTAAGGATGTGGGATAAGAAATGAGAATTCCGTCAAGGGTAAATAGCTCGGACGGAAGCCGGGAAGAAGCGATTCCAAACGACCCGGCAACTCACTCCATCGCCAACCACAACCGTGCAAATTAGGCCTGATATCCACCATTCTCTTTTTTTTTCTTCGCATGTCATCTGTGCAAGGTTTTATTCCCTTTCTCCAAAGGTCAAATGCAAGACACATCAGGTAAAATCACTCCAAGGTCGAGGAATAGCGTCACTTCTTCGATGTATATTTGACCTGCATAATTATTTTCTCTGAGCAGTTAATGTGGTGTAGTTATATTGTAGTTCTCTGTCATGCGCTTGAAGTACGTAAGGTTACTATTATTATTATTCTTATCATTTTTAACTCTCACTGAAAATTGTCGCCGGTCAAGAAAAATAAAATTCCTAGGTACTCCGAAGTAACTCTTGTGCAGGAAAGGGAAAAATACTCCAATCCCACGCTTTCTCTTCGCTTCTCTCCTTTCCTTTTCCTGCCCAGTCCTCTTCTTGTCTTGTCCGATTGTCCCCTCCTCGCTCTCCCCTCCCCTCAGTGTCTCACGGGCCTTACTACCTTAGGTGCTCTGTCTCTCTCTCTGGTCTGACATTATTACTGTCCGTCCCATCTCTACTTTCTCTCTCCCTTTCCCTCTTCTCCCTCCTCTCACCCTCCCCATCAATCCTCTCCATTCCTTTGGAACATCCTCCCCCACACACGCCAGACCCTTTTGTCTGTCGGGTCTCAAGGGTGAAAAGTCGTTGTTCGATCGCATTCTGCCTCGTTCACTCGTGGTAGAGCCGCCTGGAACTCTTTAGAGAGGGCAATCACTCCTTTTCCCGTAAGTCAATTGGAACTATATTCCCAATATCCTTGGTTTTCCCAAACTGCCGCCCACTCCATCACCTTCGTTTGGGAAGAGGAAGAGGTGGGAAATTTTTATGAAAATGGGAAAGATAAATTTATCCACATGCCTGTCGATTTATTCCCGCTTTCTTTCTCCAATTTGAATACGGCATGATATGTCGACTGGAATGTGCTGTGTCTGCCGATCGTTGGGGATATGTGAAACTTTTTTTTCCAGAGCCAAAAAAGGTTTCTCGGCTGCGCAGAGTCAACCTTGGGGATACGCCAGGAATAAGTCGGTCGATGTCATCGTTGCTCGCCATCCTCGTTTTTCCCTCGATCGCGCGGACACTCGATAGTTCCAGTTTTCATTGCGCTTTCTGTTACTCCGTGTCGGCCGATGGGTGCAATTCTTTGTTGATTTACTTTGGGGGCTCATGCTTACCTGTCACTACATTCAAATAGGTCTCTCGTGGTTCCTCCGAGCAGATTAACTCCTCTCGCCGCCGCCGTCGCCCTCGTCCTCGCCGTCAAGGAAACCCAGTCCGGTTCCTTCTGTCCAATATGGCGTACTATGAGCCTCAGGGTTGGCAAGCGCCTACTGCGCGCCAGGCCTCATGGGAGCATCCCGTTCAGCCCCATCGCGGTCAGGTATGCTCAGCGCTTACCCGTCCTTCACGTTGACGAAGATTGCTTACGGTGGTGTCATCAGGGTCGAGCTCAGTCTCTCAACGGGATGAGATGCCGGCTTTTTCGTCGCAATTTGACGGTACGGTTATGAGTCCTATACATCCATACCCCTTTGGCCCTTCAGCAGCGGAACCACGTGCGCATCCCAAAAAAATATCGAATCTCTTCCTGATACAATAATATTTTGTGATTTGAGCCATGGCGGGGACGCTTGGGCTGTGCGGTCAATACTTTCAAGGACTCATCGCTAATGGTCTGCAATAGAGGTCGATCGTGCGATCGATAATCTCGTCAAGAGTGGGAAGCTGTTCACAGCTCCCCGACGAGATTCGATGCCCATGGCAATGGGCCGGCCCTACCCTGAGTATGGTATGTTTCCTTTTAGACATGCTGTGGCGCGCGATAACTCCTAACACTCGAACTCAGACCCCCGTCTTACGGGAGCCGTGGCCCAGCGTCACCACTCAATCAGCGAGTTCGGCAGCCCCAACGTCCCGGGATACTATGCAGCCCAGCGTTTCCAGAGTCGCCCCAACGAGGTAGAGCAGATGATGCAGGCAAAGCGTCGGATGGCAGCACAACGCGAGCGGGAGCTCCGCAACTATCATCAGGAGCAACAGTACAACCGAAGTACGTGGTAGCATCTGTCTTTTTGGATATCTTTCCCCTTGTTTTCTTGATATTCCCCCATGATTTGATGCTCACATTCATGTATTCGCTGTTTTGTATGATACTTTGGGCTTTGACCTCTTTCCTGAACATGAGTTTTAATATTTCTTTCCCTAAAGGCCTGCTTGCCGAAATGTCTGGAAACAAATCCGATCGCTCGCTCAGCCCGGCCGCCGTGAGTGAGGAAAGCCGTCGAGAACTTCTAGCACGCCAGCATAGGGCTCTTTACGGGAACGAAAGCCCGGCCTTCTTCCCGCCTAACAACTTTGGTGACGATAACTCTCGGCCCGCGAGTCAAGCAGGCGGCACTCCGTCATCCGCTGCCGGTGTACGTGGCGCGTCTCCTCGCGGTGTTGACCCTTTCGGCCTCTCGCAGACTCCAGTTCAGGGCAACACCGATACTGCCGGCGGAGCGTCTCTCCAGTCCCCCTCTCGCGCTAACAGCACTTCGTCCCCGAGCTCTGGCATGAACCCTGTCTTCGGAAAATTTGATGGCTCTGACCAGCCCCGACGTCGACTTCCTCTCCTGGTAGGGCCGACTCGCCCTCTTCGAGGCAGGCACCCGCCAAACCCAATGCTGGCGCGATTGGTTCCGTCGGCCCAATCGGTTCTCGCCCTGTTCAGCAGTCCGGCCCTTCCCAGATCTCCAATCCTGCTCTGAACAAGCGCTCCACGACCCCCTTACCGTCCCCTCTTGGCTTTGGCTTCACTTCCAGTGATGGAGTCGCCTCTGGAGCGAACAACGACCGTGCGGCCTCTTCTGCCTCCAATCCTGTTGCCTCTACCTCCGCCTCAACCGCCGCCGCCAAGGAGCCCTCCGGGGGTGTCAGTCTGGGCTGGGGCAATGGCAGCGGTGTATGGGGCTCCAAGGGTGGCCTGGGGGTCCAGGCTTCCGTTTGGGGTTAAGTCGCATGACTGTATCAAAAGCTTCAAGCCCTGCATTTGTTCGACATCTGTTCAGTGGTATCGTGGCGTTCTGAGGTTGGTTTCGCCCTTTTTTTTTTTTTTTTTTTTTCCCCTATTTATTTTCTCGAAATATTGGGACAGCATGGTACATATTCGGAAGAAGTGGCTGGAGCAACTCTTGTCTGGCGCTCACTTCGTTCGATCCATATGTGGACAGTTAATTTGGTACATTGTTGGTTTACTGACTAAGGGACTTGGTTGGCCTGTTGGTTTCGGGAGTCGGTATATCCCCATTTCATTGTGTTTGCATCCTGTGGTCTTCAACATGTTACCATGACCTCTTTTCTTTTGTGATTTGCCTCCCTTTGGTGTTGGCATATGTCTCCTTCCCCTTTGATTCATTTTGTTTTGGGTCTCTGCAGTTCTTGGGATGGGGAGTGAATTTGCATGTTTGTGGGTGTATTCCATGGGACTCTTATCTCGGCTCTTATTACGGGGGGTTCCAGGTGTTCCATTCCATTGTCGGGTTTCGTTTGCGAGTTTGGTCGAGGTTTGATCCTTTTTAATCTCAAATGACTGGGGTGGGGGGTACCTAATGGCCTATTTTTTTGCTATCTATCCTTTCCTTTGGGCTGCTCGGCTTGGGGCTTCGGAAAAGGGATGGTGTGGAGCTGGCCAGTCCGTCTTTAGGAAAATGCTTACGGGAGTAGGTTCTGAATGTAATGTTTCCTGGCAATTTCTGTGTTTCTTATGTACCCGTCTTCCTTGCATTGGAACTTTCCGCCTACTCACTGAGTTATCCATTCTCCACCACAAAGCGACCTACACCCTCGCTGTATATGCAAAAGACGCTGTTGATGCACTCTTGGGGAATGGCCCCGTTCATGCTTGATCTGATACAATGAGTATGTGAGTGTGGTAAAAGTTTTCAGAGCTCAAGGCGTACTTAGTCTCCACCGGAGAGGAATCTATTCTAGTGTGAGACTATATACATGTATGATCATGGGCACTGAATGAGACCAAAGGGAACTTTTGCGCGGACGTCAATGCCATGTCTCAGGCATTACTATGCGCGCGGAATTGGACAGGAACAAATAACAACTTTCTCGAAGCGCCGTGATCAAACGGCATTCGAGTGACGCTCATCAATCGTAGCCGCAGTGCGGTCATCATGGTGGGCACCACCAGCATTAGCATTATGATTATTGTTAGAAGCTAAGTTAGCGCGGACAGAGTCGATCTTCGCCTTTGCGGTAAAGAGCCCCGCAAAGCCACGTTCCTGGTTCTTGCCGAGCCAGGGCTTGCGGGCTTCGCCGAGGACTCGCTTTCCGAGGAAGTAGATAAGCTGGCCGACGATGATGAGGACGAATGCGATCGGGTACATCCAATGGATGTTGTAGTGGAAGACCTCGATGCCGATGCAAACGCCCCAGAAATTCATAGTCAGCAGCGAGATGTTGAAGAAGGCTGCGGACGACAGGCGGAATAAGAGCGGGGCCATGCAGTAGAAGAATGCGAGACACAGGGTGTATCCGGTAAAATAGCTACCGATTCTGCTGTTCCAGACGGCAATCTGGAAAGAGTGACGGTCGAAAATACCGGCCTGGACGCCGTTGATGATCATTCCGAAGAAGGCCATCTGACCAAGCACTTCGTACACGGGGCGGCTGCTGACGAAGTACTCCTCTCCGGTGTTGGTGATACCGTAGAAGCTCGCACCCAACAACGCAAAGAGGTCGCCTTTGATCTGGTTGCCGCTGGAAACATTGCCTCCGTTTGAGCCCGTGATATGATCGGATGCAATCAAGACACCCATACCACCGATACAGATCAAAATACCCAGAATCTGTGTGATATGATACCGAACGCGCAAGAAGAGGAAAGAGATAAAAACGACAACGGCGATGGCCCAGAAGTTGATCAACTGGGCGCTAAGCATTGTCGTATAACGGTATGCCAGCACAATGAAGTAATTGCCCTCGACGTCACAAAAAGCCAAGATAATATCTGTTTGAAATCACACGAGTCAGTAAGTGATGTTGCAATACACCGCAACGGTCTAGCCACAGCAACCGAGGGAAAAAAAAGCAGAGGACTCTCTCACATTTCCAGCCGTCGCGCCACATCAAGCGGAGCCAGCCCTTGAAACCATAACGGTAGATAGTGTAAGGTGTAAATATGAGGTTGAGCAGAACGTAATTGAAGAAAGACTGAAAAGCCGGAATCGAGGTACCCTCCTGACTAAGAAGAGTGCTGAAAGTACTTGTCGCAGTATTTGTTATGGCCAGCACCTGCCTAAAAGCTTATTGTCAGAGGTTTGTTGCGCATTCGTAGGCACTTGCAATGAGTCTTACCCAAGTATCAGCGTGATATAGAACTCCTTTGTCGTAAAGTATGCCCAGAACCCCTTCTTCTGCGTATCGATACGATCCGCAACGGCTTCAGAGCCAGAGTCATCCTCCCGTGTATTCTCGTTGACAGTCACTGGATCGTTCTGCTTAGGAGGCTCGAAGTATGGAGACGTGACGGCGTCAGGAGCCGCAGATGAAGTCTGCACACCAACAGGGTGTTTGGTATCCGACATTGCGAGAGTGGTCCGAACTGTATTTAAAAAACGCAGGCTTAGACACAGCAAATGCTCGTTAAGACAAGAAGCTTGAATAATGCAGTCAAGAAAGTCGTAGAGGAAGCAGGGTCGTCTATGGAGGGAGCTTTTTGACCTGAACGAACGCAAAACCCCCAGAAGTCGCTCGTCTTCGGTCGTAGGAGTAGGTCTCTACTCAGAAGAGTTGAAGACAAAGTCTGCTCAGGACTGAAGAGGAGAAAATCAGAAACCTGCGCCGAGGAAAAAGAAAAGTGGGCAGAGGTGAAGCGGAGTCGACTTTTCCCAATGCGGTAATTTTCACTACGGGAACGCCGTCAATATTCGATAAGAAAAAGGTCTCGACCTCGTGGAGCTATGAGCCAATCAGACAACATCATACAGGCATCTGGATCTGTTTATGTCAGCAGGTAGACTGGGTCTGTCCAACGCCACCCCTGCAAAAGCCAATCATAACAAGGCGGCAGCTGATTCCACAGCTGCTAAACGTAACTAAACGATGGCCCTAAGACATTTTGATAATGGGGCATGGACGATAAGGTTAGCAGAACGCTCAGACCCATCAGATGGAGGTGCACTGAAGGGTGATGCTTGATGAGGATGTCAATGCAGCAATGCGGATTGCAGAGCTGTCGAACTATTGTCTGCAGTATCAACAAGGATGTAAATGCCGTAGAAAACTGTCGTTATTTCGATGATTCGGTTGTTTTATGAACCATGTCGAGCTTTCAGCAAGAAAACGAACATTGGAGATTATAGCGGCACCTTTTAGACTTTCTAGTCATGGTCACCTGACTGAAATCCTCTTGCCTGAGGCAGGAATATAGCCTTAGTCTCTTACTGGGTTCCGGGAGATTGACGGAAGTAGACATGTTTTAATTCATGTGACTGAAGGAATGAATCGTTCAATATGTCCCAAATGCAAATAGGGTGTGGTCTTTTGATGAGAATGTCAGTTGAACTATTTGTGTATGATATACGCAAAGAGAGAGCTTCGGCAGCCTGCGCTCCCAACATCAATGACTGTCAGTGATTAGAAGTCCGTCGTGCTCGGGCACTTGACTCCCTAATCTCATGAAGCCATGTGACTGTGTTGGATTGGCTTGTCAGTTTTGGGTATCTCGTCCAAGATGGTACATGCCCAACGGCGGTATACAGAACAGATCTGCGATTACATGTTGCATCCTTCATCGTTTCTAGTACACTAAGGATGGAGCATTTGTGAAGAGTTTGAACGTCGAACTCCTGTTCCGTGGATAACGTGGGGAAAGGGGATACCTATTAGTTGATTACCCTATGGTTTTCCAGGAACTTTAAGGCACCTCGCAAGTCACAAGGAAAAGGCCCATTAAGCTTCTTTCCTTCCGAGCCCCTCTACCTTAGGCGGCCCCAGGGCTGATCCATGCTCCTGTAGAGCTTCTTTTAGAGCTTCTTTTAGTGAGGTCGACTTGAGTACCTTAAGCCTTGTTTCAGATGAATCAATTGTACCTATCTACTACTTGCTCGTTGCTACCCCTCAAATATCATAGTTGTGACTACCATGACATGTTCGGCCGACCTTCCGGTACCTGAGCACTGCATCTATTAGATAGATTGCTTCGTAGTGTATTGCGTATTTAGGTTCATCTTAATTCCTTGGATTTATTTTTAGTATTAGTGACATCTTCAGCCCCTAGAGAAATTATAGAACACTAGAACATCTCCTTGCTAGAAGAAATAACAGGAGAAAGACCCCTGCTGTTGATGTGAGGGCACGTCATCCCAACCAAACTCTCTTTTCTTTTCACCTCCCTGTGCCCGCTCTCTTGCAGATCCCCATATGGTGGCTAGTCTACCTATCTTTCTATCTACCTTTAGTTACCTTGCGTTTCCGCCTCCGAACCAAGTAGGAATCCAGAAGGCTTCATCCAGCTTTATCCACCTATCGTCCACTTCTCGTCCATCGTATATCTCAGAGTAGCACTCTCGTCGGCTCACTGCCTTAAGGCCTCATTTACTACCACCGCTATTGAGCAGAATATTCACCAGATCGCGACACAAGGAGATAGGAGCCCGTCTTAGTATTCTCAATCTCTACGGTCGCGTGTCTGTCGCTTTTCTGCGCGCTCGCCGAACCCAAACTGAGAAGGGGAAAAAAACCAGCGCCCGCCAACCGCTGCCGAGGCCGTCAGGTGGTCCGTCCCCAACTCAGGATCATCATCATCCGCAGCACAGCATCAAACATCGTTATCGTCGCCTGTTGATATCGTTTCCGATCCTCATTCTCCCCTCAAAAATACTACTTTTTCTGTCGCTTGTCCCTGCGCATTCCTCGTTCAACCCTGGACAAGGCAGCGGCTGCCCTTTCTTTCCACTCCCCTGTGGCGGTTCTCGCGCCGGTACACTCGTTCACTGAGTTGTTCCGGTTTGAAGAGACGCCACCTCTCCTTTCTGCCACACCATGGCGTCGGACTTACAACCACCCAACGATCGTAAGCGGGTTAAGGTCTACGAGCTGAGGGATAATGACTGGTTCGACCGAGGGACCGGGTTCTGTATGGGACAGATTCTCGACGTAAGTTTCTGTTGTTGCTTGCCTGGTCAGCGCAAAAGCGTCGCCCATTGTCGGCGCGAAAGCTGCACCTGGCCTCGCGCTGAAGATTTTCATTTGTCTAAGACTGACATGACATCTACGTCCCGTAGGATGAACCGCGAATATACGTCCAGTCGGAGGATGAGCCCGACCGGGTGCTCCTGGAGACAAGAATCACTAAGGACGATGGCTATCAGAAGCAGCAAGGTCAACCTCCTTCGCAGTCCTCATCATATCGCGCCATGAACGAAGAACTGAGAGGCTAACGCTCGTGCGCTCCGAACAGAAACCCTTATCGTATGGACAGAGCCTAATGGAACGGACATGGCGTTGAGTTTTCAGGAAGCGGAGGGCTGCGCGGCTATATGGTAAGGCGTTGCGTCGACGCCCGCCTCTCAGCTTTGTCGCTGACGAGTTACCAAGGAATTTTGTGAATAATGTCCAACAACACCTACACAGCTTGGTATCAGCAGGTTAGTTGATATCCCTCCGCGCTGCTTGCAGGTCATCGTGGCAGATTCCTGTGTGACCGGTGGAACTGATTACGTCCGTTACTAGACGATGCCTTGTCCGACGATCTCGAGAGCTATCAGTCAATCATGCTACCTCCGCCTGAGCTTGGGAATCTTCCGGAAATCGATCACATCATGCGGGCGGCCAGCATCACTCAAGCCGGTCGCGACGCGCTATCTAAATTTGTCATTAGAGACGAGTACATCCCGAAGCTGATACCTTTAGTCACTGTCGCAGAGGATCTGGAGAGTCTTCCGGATTTGCATCGACTTTGCAACATAATGAAATCGCTTATTCTACTCAATGACAACACTATTATTGAGACGGTCGTTACCGATGATATTATCCTGGGTGTGGTCGGGGCATTGGAATGTGCGTGATAATCGGCCCCTCTGTCTTGGTGTCGTTGCTCGCAGGATGTATAGGACTAATTCATCTCAGACGATCCCGAATTTCCCACTCACAAGGCCAATCATCGACAATATCTCGCAGATCAGAGCCGCTACAAGGAAGTCGTTCCCATCAAGGATCCCATCATTCGCCGCAAGATTCGCTACACATGGCGCCTACAATATCTGAAAGACGTGGTGTTGGCTCGAATACTGGATGACCCGACATTCTCTGTCCTCAACTCTCTGATTTTCTTCAATCAGGTGGAGATAGTGAATCACATTCAGTCGAATGGACCCTTCTTGAAAGAACTCTTCTCAGTTTTCGACCCTCGGAACTCGGATTTGAAGCGCAAGGATGATGCTGTGCAATTCCTTCACCAGTGCGCTGGAATCGCGAAGAATCTACAGGCTCCCGCGCGCGCCAATCTGTTTGCGAACTTCATCAATCACGGCCTTTTCGCCGTCATTGCGTTTGCCATCAAACATCTTAATCCAGCCATGCGCACTACAGGTGTCGATCTCCTTGTGGCGCTGCTTGATCACGATCCAATCATGATGCGTGGATATATGCTCAAGGCCGTCAACGAAAAGAAAACGCCCCTTACCGATACTCTCATCGATCTCCTGCATGCTGAATCCGACCTTGGTGTGAAGAATCAGCTCGCAGATGCCATCAAAGTTCTATTGGATCCTCAAATCCCTTTGCAGGATGCCATGGGTCGGGCTGGTCCCGAATATTTCTCGAAATTTCGCCCTAATATTCTCTCCGATGCGTTCATGCAGAATCACTTTGATGAATCCGCTAGAAGACTCTTTCTTCCCCTCAGACGGCTTGAGAATCGTACCGACCGTAAGTACTGCGTGCACTGGTTGGCCATTATGCTCGACGATACTAATTGGGACAACGGCTACGCAGTTAACGATCTCACGTTCCAAGAAGTATCCCTATATTCACATTTGGTCGATATCCTCACATTCTTCGTCCGTCAACATCTCTATCGAAGCCGTAATGTCATTCACAACGAGGCTCTTGCGCCCCGAATTGCCCAGCTACTTAGAGTTCCTCAGAAACACCTCAAATTAAGTGAGTCCATATCCCAATTCTGCGGCTTTTCTTCGGATCTCTAACGGTATGCACCGTCAGCCGCTTTGAAGTTCTTCCGCACCTTGGTCAGCCTGCAAGATACGTTCTATCAGGCGTTGATGACGCACAACAACACTTTCGGGCTGATCCTGGACATTGTGTACGAAACTATGCCTCGCGACAACCTCCTCAACTCCGCATGCCTTGAGCTCTTCGAGTTCATCAAACGAGAGAATATCAAACCCATTGTTCTTCACATTGTTGAAAAATACCGTGAGAAGATCAAGGATATCACTTACGTTGACACCTTTCAGAATTTGATCCTGCGCTACGAGCAGATGCAAGGCTATGGAGCAGAGGCGGACTCAACTCTGTTTTCGCAAGAGGAGGAAGCTCGAAAATTACAGGCGAATGGCCAACGCTGGCAAGGGGTCAAGGAGATGGATGCTGCTGAAGAGGAATACTTCAACACATCCGACGACGAGGATGAGGTAAGATACGCCCAGTAGTTCCAAGACTTTCCACTCGCTGACTTTTAATTCTCAGTGGCAGCAAGAGAATCGTGTGCATGGTGCTGTGGCTGTCAATGCGCAGAACGGCGCAGCTTCGCCAGTAGTGAAACCCTTGGTCGATTATCCAGACGATGATGAAGACGAGAATGCGATGGATACAAAACCGGAAGCCGACGAACTCCAGGCGCAGCAAACACCACAGGAAGAGAATGCGACTGCCGATATCTCGTTGGAGACGCAGTCTACGCCGGTTTCTCTGAGCATACAGACTCCTCCGGAACGCCTGTCAGAGAAGCGTCGGCGTGAAGAGGAGGATGACGATGAATTGGTCAAGCTAACCTCAGGGCCGAAAAGGAGGAGCTCTACGAGCAGTAGCTCTGGCAGTGCAGGTCTTATACGGAGAAAGCGAGGCATGTCAATTGGAACTCTTTCTACTGCCGAAAAGGGAACAACTCAGAATCTTTCGGGTGGGTTGAGTGGCGCAGCGCCTAAACGGATCGCTATCAACCTCGGTCCCGCAGCCAAGCCAGCCACTTCGGAAACTGAGTCGAACGATTCTACCTCAAGTCATACGAGCAATGAGAAAGAAAACCGAGTTGACGGTGTGAAAGAAGACGCTTGATGATTTCTTATTCCGTTGTTCTCGTGTGGGCAGTATTCGGCCCGAATACTGCCCTTCTGCTTGCTCAGGCTACGACATCATTCTCTCTGTTTGTCTCAAGAGTCCTCACCTTAGGGGTACCAGATGATGAGAGCATCATTTGCCGTTTTCCACTTTCAATCCAACAGCTGGCTGTGACGATCTGTTGTATCGTTCCGATTGCATTTACACATTCTTCCAGTTGTGGTATTTTTAGACGTTGTGTATCAACTTTCTGTTAAAGTTTGCGTGATGGTTTCTGGCTTTGCATGCCACAGCTCTTCTCGCACAGCTCCTTTCGATATGAGTCGATCTATTATATCCCCTTTGCTTGCCTATTTGATATCGCGGTGTTGCATTCTACATTTTGTTTGATAAATACGTGGTGTGCTGGTTGATCTGTCCATGGCTGGCGAACAAGGGGCTTGAAAATCGGAATTACTATAACAGCACCTGCAATGCTGTTGCATTAGCGCGATTTAGGATTTGTCGAAATCCAGATGTTTTGGGTTGCTTTTTCATCTACATTTGGGTTCTTTACGGCACTGGTACTGGCAGGGGAATATGGCTGGATGGAACGGACCGCAATGACCCTGTGTATGTCTGAAACGCGAAGCGGCAAGGTAGAGGTCTTCCCCTCTATATCCATCGCCTCGCTTCCGTTCACAACTAGGAATTATCCTAGAGGACGATTAATGGACGAACTATTGCGCAAGTCGATGCTTATTTTTCTGGGAAATATGACTGCACATATTTGTCCGCGCAATGATCATATATCTTCGATCCAGATCACTTACTTACCAAGCGAAAATTGCCAATGAGTATAGTGTAGCATTATATTGTAGGACCGAAGACATTGATACTGGCCAGTTCACCACGATCGACTCGGAATATGCAGCTCAAGTTGTGATTGTAGAATCCCAGAATCATTGAATCCTGAGGCGGAATGGTTCAATCCGCTGTTGTTCCCAGTGGGCCCTCCCACTCTTGAAAAAAAGGGCTCGATCTGAACCTAGCCGAGCTTAGGTTGGTTTCCAGCTTGAATCAATGGACTCATGATGCTTATGGGTCAATATGGATGCTCACTGCAAGTTGTCAATTAAAACCTTGCCATCCTCAATCGGATTTCAAACGGTTCATTCAGTGGATACGTTCTTCTCAAGCCCAGGAACACCATCTAGTCTAGCTACATCATAAATGTCAACCACGGCCATTCCGCATTCACCAGTTCAATACCGGAGTTGACCATCTCATGCTCCGCCGGTATATCACCTCGCAAATATACCGCCTAACAACCCGGAAGATGTCAACATCCCCCCAGCCGCGCATCACGCGCGACACGTTTCTGCACACTGTTTCCCTGCAGAAGAGCAGGCCGGGTTCCACCCCGTCTTCGTCCCAGGTCACCATTTTCATGATCTCAGGGAATCCGGGGCTAGTCGGATACTACCATACCTTCCTGTCGCTTCTTGCTGACAAACTGGGTTCGCGCGGCGCGCAGAGTAAGAGTCAGAGCCGTAGCCATGCGTGTGACTTTCAGATCTACGGGCATAGCCTGGGTGGGTTTGAGCTGGATGATCCCGAGAATCTAGATGCGGGGAAGCGCTTGTTTGATCTTGAAGACCAGATCTGCTATGTCCAGGGGAAGCTTGATGGTTTCCTTGCGGGCGCGGAGACGAAGCAGAAGGTTATTCTTGTTGGGCATTCGGTGGGCGCTTATATCGCTATGGAGATTCTGAGGAGGCATCGGGAGAGATCAGATGCTAGAGCTAGAACTGGGGCTGGGGCTGATAGGGCCGACTTCGATATCGTTGGCGGGATAATGCTCTTCCCTACTGTCGTGGATATTGCCAAGTCGCCTTCTGGGCGGAAGCTGACGGTGAGTTTGGTCCCCTGGTTACGGTGCAGTACTGATTCAAGGGCAGCGATTGCTCTACTTTATACCCCAGCTGGCTCTAGTCGTTGGCTTTCTGGCCAGGGTTCTGGCAATGCTACTTCCAGGAAATCTGCTGCAAGGTCTAATCAAAAATGTTATGGGGTCGCCACCGGATAGTGCGGTTGAGACAACCGCAGCGCTTCTCAAGAGCAAACGGGGCGTTAGACAAGCTTTGTTCGTTGCCATTCCCACTCCCATTCTATTTTCATGTTAGTGTGCTTGGAGATCTTCTAACTGACGTAGACACATGGCCGCTGATGAGATGCGGACGATCACCTCGGACAAATGGGACGATGATGTCTGGGTGTGTCGACGGCTAACGAGCCGCTAACTCGTTTGTTCTTCTACTTTGGCCGAAATGACCATTGGGTTGCGGAGCGGACGAGGGATGAGATTATTGAGCTTCGAGGGCGTGTAGATGGTGGGCCGACGATGTCGGTTTGCGAGCTTGGGCTGCCGCATGCGTTTTGCTTAAGTGAGTGGTTTGCTACGTCTCTGGCTATGGGTGTAGGCTTGGTACTGATAGATTCCTCTACAGGACATAATGAGATTATGGCGGAGAAGGTGTCCGCCATGATTATGGATATTGTGTCGGCTTGAGACGGTCAAAGACGGCACCTTGAGGTGTAGAGTTATGTCTGTATTGCTGACTTTATATAGACCGAGACGAGTGGTTAGAGATCGGGCATTGCTGGTATTTGATAAATGAGCATGGACTCATATCAGGGATTATCATCTCCAGCACCATGGCTTCGTGCCGTGCGGTCCTTAAGGAAAGGTTCGCTGCACGTACGTACCCATACAAAATAATATTGCATGCCGTGAGGTTTGGGATGACGGAATGAACAGAGGCCAGAGATACTCCAGTTAGGCCTCTGTCACAATTCTCACTAAAGCGAACCGTAAAGACATTTGGGTATCTCTATAAACAAACTCTATTCCTCTGGCAGATTTGCGACGTGAGGCCTAAGAGTTTCCCTGGTAGGCTAGTCCTGCTCTTCTGAACAAATCCCCTAGAACATCCTGTCGAGGTTGCGGTTCCGCCGCCGGCGTCTCCATCGGTGTTTGCTGCCATTGCGGTTGACCAAAATTGTGTGCCTTGACACTCCATTCATCGTCCTGTGCTCTCTGTTCGCCAAAAAGGTCCTTCAAGGAGATCTGACGGCCCATAGGAACACTCGAGTGCATTTCATCCATGGAGCCAGCCTCAGCGGCGGCGGTAGCAACATGAAGGCCGTTCTGACGCGTCGCTTCTAGTCGCTCACGGGCGATCTTCAGACTATGGCCCGCGTGAACGGCGCATTCCCGGATCATGTGAGCGTTGATTGTGCGTGTTTCCGCAGTCGAGTTTGGCGGTGGCTCGGAGTAGATCCAGAGGCCGTAGATACGGACGTCGGCGGGGTTTGCATTCTTCTGGGCACCACTGTAGTCACTATTATTGGGAATCCCTTGGTCTGTATCCAGGTCGTAGTCGGATTTGATGATGACATATTCTTCCGTAAGCTCCACATTGTCCCCGTCCGTCAACAGAATATCGAAGTTGTTGAGGCCGCGTCGGTTCAACACGAAAACGCTGTATCGTTCCTCGCCTAGACTTCCTTGAGATAGTTGACAGACAAACAGTGACCCCTCCACACCGCTTTTTTCCCACTGTCGGGACGTCGGGTTGAACAAGTAAACCACTGCGTATGGAGCGAGAGACAGAATCGAGTTCACAGACGGATTATGGCGGCGGAGTACGGAGAGGTTCAGCTCCTCGTTGGAGCGTAACGGCGGGGGAGGCACGTGCTGTTCTTGCTGTTGTTGCGTGTCGGAGAAGTAGTTTGGATAATCGGACTCATAGTCGGAGGGTTGCGTGCCATGGTGGTTGTGACGATGATTGTTGCCATTGCCATTGTTCGTTCGTCGGGGTTTGCGGGTCGTCATTGTGAGAATATGTGTAGAGGAGGGGAATACTCATACAGTTGGCCCCTGTTGACTCGTTCGTAATAGAGGGGTAGAGGATTGAGAATATATCACTTCAAGATATGGTGGAGGAAGGGGTAGACGTAGCTAATCGAGGAGATTGTTGGATAGCGGAATATTGGTGACGTTGATGGAGAAAGATAGAGAATGGTCAACCCCGCGAACAGCTCAAGCGGAGCGCCTACGCTTCAATCATTCCTGATCAATTCTACGCGCTATTTTGCTGTGTTGGAGACAAACAGCATCAAATCGCATATTTCTATCGTGTGTTATAAACCCACCCTTTTTTTGGACAGAATTATAGTTCGGCCATCCAAGGACCGCTTCAATTGCCTCCTTGCCATCGCCTGTCGTCATTCGTATCGAACTCCTGCCGCCATCCATCCCATCGCCGCTGCGTCGTCCTCTTCTCTCCGTCCACACTCAGGCCCCGCATTTCCGCTAGACATCGCGTGACGCAGGGACAATTCGACGGTTCCTGATCAACAGTCAGACGCATTTAAGATTCAGTCCCGATGACTTAGACCGTCACGCGACGCCCCTGTTACTTCCCTACCTCTCTTTGCGCCTCGCGCTGCGGAAATAGAGCCTCTCTCGGAGGCAGACTCCTGGTCCCTTGAGTCATACGCGGGGAGCAGACGAAATATATACAATTCATTTTTCGAATAATGGGCCGTGTCTCGGTCAGATCCTCACAGCATGAGTTCAAGCAGCGATCAGTCGGAGTCGCAACCGCCCGTGTCTTCAATCCCCGGTGGGTATCAAAGCGACAGTGGCAGCAGCTCCTCCAGTCGCCATCCCGATGAGCGTCATGACCCGTTCGCGCTTCCGAAGGCCGTCAAAGCGAGAAAATCGGAGTACACCCGCGAACAAACGCTCCGCGTCAAGGTCGGCACTTGGAATGTGGCAGCTATCCGAGGCACGGAGGAAGATATTGGAAAATGGTTCGTGGAACGAAAGGGTATATGCGAACAGCTCTCTGGTCTGAAGCTGCAGGATCCCCGAGATATGTCCGACGGGACCGATTGGGGGTCGGGGGACGACGCTTCGAGAGATACTCAGGTCGGCCAGCCGAAACGCAAGGGATTCCTTAAACTCCCTCCGTACGAACCGGAGAAGGTAGGACTCTACGTGCTAGGATTACAAGAGGTTGTTGATGTCTCGTCGGCTGCGGAGGCATTGAGGCCATACGTTGATCCAGGACCATCGAACAAATGGAAGGCGGCGCTTGAGAAAGCCCTGCCAGAGGGGTTTCAGCTCGTTTCGGAGACTCAGCTGGTGGGACTCATGCTTTTGATCTATGCGGCTCCTTTCGTTGTCGAGAGCATATCTTCGGTTAGCTCCACCAACGTCGGTACGGGACTTTTGGGCTACATGGGCAATAAAGGTGCAGTAGCAACGCGACTGATGCTTGGTGAAACGACTTGTCTTGTGTTTGTCAACTCGCATCTTTCCGCTGGCTCGGATAAAAGTAGCTTGGAACGGCGCAATTGGGATGCATCTCAGATTGTTGGACGCGCTAAATTTGACCCTATCGACCCAGACAAGGGCCTGAGAGAGGACCCTGGGGATAGTATTGGGGGAGAAGATTTTGCCTTTTGGTTTGGTGACCTGAACTATAGACTTGAAGATATTCCTGGAGGTGACGTGCGACAAGTGCTCGCTCGGCATACGGAGAACGAATACGACAAAAGACATAAGCCGTCACACCATGTCGAAGGGAAGTGCCATCATCACCAATGGTAGGCGTCGAACACGACCATGATTCGGAAGAATCATTTCCCACTCTATCGGACGAGGAAATCGACCCTCATACGGACCCGTCTTCGCTACAAACTACTATTGCTTCTCTACTGCCCCATGATCAGCTTCGTATGCAACAGAAGAAGAACAGGGCTTTCCATGACGGTTGGAGAGAAGGCGACATTACATTCTTACCGACATACAAGTATGATGTAGGGAGTGTGGCCAGGTTCGACTCTAGCGAGAAGCATCGTGGGCCGAGTTGGTGCGATCGAATTCTATACCGGACACGCCACGACAGACTCAGGCATGAAAAGCGGGTTCAAGAAGCCGAGAAGTCGAGAAAACGGGACGAAGAAATGAAAGCAAGAGGCTTGGATAAGGCAGATGCTGATGACAACGTATTATTTGACTACGACCCGGACGTCGATGGTGCCGACAGCGGGGACGAGTACGATCCAAATAAGGACAAATCGAGCGACAGTGATTCGGTGTCTTCCGAATCTGATAAGGATGAGTGCTGTCGGCTCGAATATTATGTGTCACATCAAGGTATTCTATCATCGGACCACAAGCCTTTGTCTGCCGGTTTTACAATCAAGTATGAGGCTGTCGACCCTTATCTGAAAGCCAAGGTACATCAGGAAGTTGTACGGGAGCTAGACAAGGCCGAGAATGAATCGCGACCTGGCTTGACCATCGTGGTCGATACGCACGGAGAGGATCCCAGAAAGTCCACAACAGATCCGAATGCGGTAGACTTCGGTGATGTTTCTTTCGATATACCCATCACCCGCTCACTCACTGTTGCAAATACGTGTGGCGTGCCCGCTACTTTCCGTCTCGAGAGGCCCGATCATGGCAGTGAGCAGAAGACACCGTCATGGCTGGAGTACAAAATTGAAGCACCCACTCACCATGAGGAAGATAAGAAAAGGAAAACAAACGAACGTACTCTGTTTCCCGGGGAGCTCGCCAACATTGATATAACAGCACATGTTCACGATATCGAGCATGTTCGTTTGCTGAACAACGGTCAACTCAAGCTTGAGGACATCCTTGTCCTTCGGGTGACCGGCGGTCGCGATCATTTCATCTCTGCTTATGGGCAGTGGTTACCTACATGTTTTGGTCGCAGCGTGGAAGAACTTACCATGATGCCCGAAGCCGGTGCGCGAAGCCTATTGAAAAGGGATAAATCAGAAAAAGAGCGTGATCATGATGAAACTGGCCGCCTATCAGCCCCTCGTGAGCTTTTCCGCCTGACTGAGGCTATTTCAGAACAGTCTGAACGTGCCATTGCTGAGTGGGGAATGACAAAGAGTGATTCCGACGAAGAGTTGCCCCCATGGGCAAAGGACCAGGGTGCCGGATGGCCATTTGACCCCGAGACGTGGACCTTGAAGGATAAGGAGCAACGATCTCGGCACTTGGCTTCAGCTCGTGAAGCCTTGGACACCAATCAAGATTTCAAGTCTACCTTCGCTCCTGAGGTAACATCACTGCATCGATTGGAGCTTCTGTGCGAAACCTTATTGGCCTTTCTCCGTTCACTGAGAGATGGAATAGTCACGGCTCCCGTTTGGGAGAAAATGGAACAGCAGATGGTCACGCGTGAACGGAATAAGTCACCTCCCCTGTCCTGGGATGAAACTCAAGCATGGGTTCTAGAGACGCTCGCATACTCCCCCGCTCACAGCGTCTCCTTCACGTTTGTCACATTTATGCTCGCCCACATTGCCAACGAGATCGCTCCGTTGCCGTCTACGGCAACAGCACTGCCTGAAATATCGAACCAACAACATCAACACAAGAAGAGGGACAGTGTCCTATCCACCAAAGGCGGACAGCCTTCTGATCCGACCGCAGCTGAAACAACAGCCTCAATTGCGGAGGGTAATATCAAACGGCGACCGCGTGTCTTGACAGCCACCAGCTTATCGAGCCTTCAAGCCAACGCCAGTCATCGCCGACAAGCAGTCGAAACCGCTTTAGCTTCCATTTTTGCTTCCGCACTCATTTCTGCCAGTACTGTCCCTAGCAAGGACAAGGAGCGGCGGGCCCTGGAGGATAGAAAACGAAGTATTATTGAGCCGTTCCTGAAGACGGCTGGGGTTGATAACATGGGTCCATCGGGTGGTGCTCCGTAACCACCCACACCTGTATAAACTTTCCTTACTTTACTCGGGCCTCGGACGGGAGGTTCTTGTGTCTTACTGATAGAGTTGGGTGGCCTGTACTCTGTATATCACGTCTGCACTCGTGTCTTCTCCTTTAAGTACATTGTTAGATTATAAAGTCATCGTGTGGTGGCATTTTGGTTGCGCGTCGCAAGACGCAGGCTGGAATCATTTTGAGTCAATAGACATATTGTTACTTTAACACTGGGATTACATGTAGCTTGTGCTAAAAACCCCTGAATAGCAGGACAAATGTAAACCGAGAATGGTCTTCGCAGGACGCCATTACCTGTCCAGGTTTATTTACAGAATCTCGAACCCCAGTACAGACCACAGATGCTGATGAAGACGAAGGGAAAGAACAAACGAAACAATATTGGCTCATATTGACCAATCAATGGATAAACGCCCGAATCAAACCCAATGGCTGCGAAGCCAAACCTGTATCATGTTGCTATACTTTCCAAAACCATAGTCAAAAACTTTCCCGCTTCCATTTGCTATTGATACTCCCGGATTGGTTTGAGCGCTGGACCACCGCCCAAGTCCTGTGGAGGAATCCTTCTGAACTGCCTTGAAGAAGAAGTTCTGAGATCGCGCGGCACCTTACCCTTGCTCGATTTTCGTGCTGGCTTCGAGAGTAGCATATCTTTGCAATACTGTAGACATCGCGTTGATAGCTGAAACGGGAGGCTAGCCAGGGACACGAAGATCTGCACGGGGAGGAGGATAATTGCATAAATGCTATTGAACAATCGCGATAGAGTACTCAACGGCCGACGCGAGCCGGAGCGTTGCGCCGCTGCCGCCAGAGCAATAGCATCGTGTACCTGGGTTTCGAGCGCTTGGAATTTCGCTTCTGTCTGAAATGAAGTGAGTGCTGTGCGTTTCTCATAGCGCCGAACCGCGCGGTTCAAGGCATCGATCTCCGGTTGGAAGCCTTTACGGATTTCCGCGGTTGCTTGCGAGATGAGATTTTGGAGTTGTTCCCGGTCTTGTGCATGGTTTGATGATTCGGATGGCAGTCGAGCAGCGGCTGTTTCAGCGACGTGTGCTTCGAGTTCCTCGAGTCGCTTGGCTAGGTCCTTTATCTTGTTCGGGTCCAGCTTCTCCTCGTCATCGGCAGATGCAGCAACAACACGCTGAAGATGCAGTGTGCGCGCCTGCACCATCTTCAGCAGGTGAGCGAATGGCCGAATCTCTGACGCCAGTAGGAAAATGGTTAGGTTGTAATTGGATACCAATCCTTCCGATGGCCGCGACAATTTGGATCGGATGGCATGGAGGAGCCATGTCCCGACAATGGGGAAGATGAAGCATGATGCAAGAGCAACAAGTTCATGTATTTGAAGTTCCCTTGTGGCCTTCTTGACAGCACTGGGGACTCGTTGCTCCCTTCGAGGCTCTCCGTCTGTCGCATTCTTTCGGCCTTGATAGTTTCCCTCATTGTCATCCGTTTCGAGTTCTAGCTTTGAAGTGACAGAATCGTAATATATATCCTCTTGTTTCAAGGCCTGAGCAGAGCGATACCATTCCCTGGTCCTTCAGTTAGGAAGAGACATGCAGAATGCGTAGAATCAGGGCATTTAGCTCGTACCACGGTAGTCTCACCGACCAGTTGAGGAAGATAGCTGCCAGAATCAACAGGGTGATATCTGTCACGACTGCACTCCCATTTTTAAAAAAGATACCGGCAATAGCAGGCAATAGTGCCAGACCAAGAGGCGCAGATTGCCAATTCGATTCCTCGTTCGGTAAACCGATGTTCCCCTCCTGAACTACACGCGGGAACAATAACTCATCAGTTGAGGAGCGAATCGAATTTCGTGCTTCAGATACTGAATCCGAGAAGCTTGAATTGCGACGTTGTTCTTGAATGCTTGATGAGCCCTCTGCAAAGGTTGCAGCACGGGTCGGGCCTCGATGGCGGAGGTTCAGGGATCCGACCGTGTGGACGTGGGGTCTCGCGCTCTCGATAGGAGCCGGGGGTGAAACCGATCTCCGGGGTTGTTCTGGCATGACGATAGCGGATCAGGTGCTGCAATGAATGTATCCTGGGAATGATAGAACCTCAGGTGTACCTCATGGTATACCAAGGTACATGCCAGGAGGTAGCTTTGATAAGAGAAATCGAAATTCATGCCACTTGGGGCGTTTTGCAAAGGCGTTGATCCTGACTTGGTGTTGCATTGAACCAGACCACGCGCGGAGAGAGGACGCCAGAGGTACGTAATAGCGACAACATGCGCCACAGAAGGGCTTGCCAGAAAAAGCAATAACAAAGCCTACCAACTATCTTTCTGAGGTTATTCCAGCCCCTCGAGCGCTGTGCTCGTTGGAGCAGTCATTAAACAATGTATCTATTCGCTCAAAGCTTCCATGGAAAGGTCTTCTCTTCCATCAGTGGCCGGCTTGCGGAATTCGAACTTGTTGCTTCACTTCTCAAAGCCTCGGGAGTCTAAATCTGCAACTGCTTGACAATGTAACCTACAATCAAAATCGTCGATCATGCGGGATTCGAAATCATTTCTCTTCGGGCCTTGCCGCGAAGGCCAATGTTGTCCAAAGCAGTCCAAGTATCTCAGAGTTTGAAGAATTTCTTGCCCTGACAGTGTGGTCCATCATCCCTTCCTTTCTTCTAGTCTCGGAGATGTCGGGTTAGCCATGTCATGACAGTTTTATATATCGCACCCCTGGAGTAGGCATTACCTCGCTCCGGATAACAAAAAGCAGGAAAAAGAGGCCTATGAGAGGCACTGTAACGTCTCTCCAATCCCTGGATAGCTGCGTGTGATCTTATAATGGGCATCCAACCGCCTGTTGATTCGTCGGGACCACCATACAGACATTCCTTATCGACGACACAAGATGCCGTTGTATGCTCTCTGTGAAACCAAAGGTCGAATTCTCACAGCGTCTGGCCGCATCCCAGGGGCAAAAGACCTCCGAACCGGGCCAGACTAGGGTGCCTCAGCAGTCGGATGTGTTGAGTCTGTTGATGATGGCAAACAGCGGGCTTATTGACACCCAAAACGGGAATGGTTCAGTATCCGCTGGGTGATATCCCAGTGACTCTTCCACCCATCACCACCTCAGAAAGAGGTTGGAAATCCCACTCTGTCTGACTCTGTCTTCACCATTCTTTATTCAAGTCTATCTTCTCAATAGTCGGGTGATGACTTTGCTCAGGTCGCAATGGATCTCCTGACATAAGCCCACCCAGCACCGTCATGGATGAAATCATTGACTGAATTACTTGCTCTCTTTCCCTATGTGCGTCAAACACATTTGCTTTTTTCTTCACTTCTCTGCCCATTGCTGTCTATTCTCATGTTCTCCACCTGCTGAGATCTTCTGGAATGACTGTCTCAACAGAGAGGGGGAGTGGAGGGCTCGCGCAATCTGCACTCAGTCTTCGCTCGGGATCTTCGTCCTCAATAAGACATACGGCTACTCCTCCTGTCTCCGGTTGCTTCTCCCCCTGTGTACCTCCTCAGATGCGACTTGCGATCTCCTTCTTTTAACTGAGCGGCACTGGCTCATTGCTCCTGCCATTCGGACCTCAAGAAACTCACCGTCGACTCGATTCGCAGAAGAAACATTTGTGGACGACATCGGCGTCTCGATCAGAATCTTCAAGTCAAAGCGTGTTCGTCTTTAGAAGACAGTATCCCTGATGGACTCAGCTACAACAGGACATAGCCCGCAGGCTGTGGTCCTCCCCGTGCTATCCTCCATTGCAGTTGTTGTCAGTATTCCTCCGGTCATCTTACACTGGAAGAACCGTAATTTCCCCGCTACTGCCCTCATTAGCTGGTTTCTTATCAGCAACATCTTTAACATTATCAATGCACTTATCTGGCCAACCGACGATGTCGATTCATGGTGGGATGGTCGGGGTCTTTGTGATGTGGAGACCAAGGTGATGATAGCGAGCTATGTTGGCGTACCGGGGACACTGGTGTGTATCTTCCGAAGCTTGGCCTCTGTGCTCGACACCAGACGCGCTATGCTCGTTCCCAGCACCAGCCAACGTTGGCGTAACCGTCTGATGGATATCTCATTCTGTGTGATCATCCCGGTGATTGCAATGATGACCCATATTCTCTACCAAAGGAGCCGATACCTGATCTTCACTATTTCAGGGTGCGTCAACAACTTTGATCAAAGCTGGGTGAGCCTTGTGCTAGCGTTCATCTGGCCTCCTATAATCTGCCTTCTGGCTGCTTTCTATTGCGGTATGAATAAGGCACCGTCGTCCTTCTCTGCTCATGACTGACCACCCCGCAGGCTTAACCCTCTGTCGCCTTCACAAATATCGGAGCCAGTTTGGGGACATACTCAACTCCGCCAACAGCCATCTCAACAAGTCCAGATTTCTGCGCCTATTTTTCCTTGCGTGCATCATGCTTTGGACGATTCTGCCGATTCAGGCTTACGTTGTCTATCGCAATCTTATGTACAATTTGCCCTGGCATCCATACTCATGGAGCCGCCTCCATGGGCCAAACTCACCATGGAGCACCATCCTCAAGGTTCCAATGCATGGCGAAGTCTTCTTTGACCGCTGGATTTCTGTCACTGCGGGATACGTGCTCTTCATCCTTTTCGGATGCTGCAACGATGCTTTGAGATTGTACCAATCCGCTCTTTGCCTCTTGGGCTTGGGGAAGTGTCTTTCTGGTTTGCGCACTTTGTCGCAAGGCGCCTCGGCGTCCTTTACAGCGAGCCGTGCGAAATTGCTATCCTCTAGGAAGCAGTCGTCTGGAACTGGGTAAGGGCTATCTTCTGTTATCACCGACAAATGATTAACCCTTCATGCTAATACAGTCCCAGAAGAACAACCGACTCTACCACGAGCGGGACAACCACCTCCAGCCATGAGGATATTGAAAAGGGTCCCGCGCCCCGACAGGAGAGTTCCTCTACAACAAGATCGCACTGGGTTCCGCTTCCAAGGTGTCTCTTGAGCCGCACATTCCTTTCAACCCGGGAAACAGCGGCCTCTGACCCAACCTTTTCGGTTCCAGCCACCACAGTATCCACTAATGCCTGGGCCGGTACGAGCCAGAGCCGTGGTAGTAGTGACTTCACTCATGCCCCAGTCGGACCGGATTCTATTCGCGTTAAGCAAGTGATTAGTCAAGAGAGTGAGCTACAGGTGTGAACTCACCGGCTAATGGCACAAGTCCTCCGATTCACAGTCACCCGAAACATAGCATGTGTGGCATACATGGGCTCGTCAATGGGTCCTTCATATGGGTGCCTTGCGGTGTTCACATATCATTCTGATGTGGCATCCGATGGGAAAGTCTTCTACTTCTGACTGACAATGTGTTCCATTTCTTTTGTCATATTAACTAGGGCAGATACACCATAATTTATTTCCTTTCCGAGTTTCTTTTAACCTTCAACTTAGAGCTCATATATCCACATACAGGGCAATCCTTTCAGCCTCCATCAAATTACACCCGACACTAGCAAAATCAGGCAATATCAGACGATGGGGACTCGTAATATCTTCTTCGTCTCTTGCCACCGCAATGGAAGAACACTCATCAAAGAGAAAAAAGTCAACTTAAGAGTGCACGGTCAAAGTAGTGTCATTCAAGGGTATACTGGTACAGCACGGCAACTACAATACATGCAAGTCAAAGGGAGCGGCGGCCAACAGTCGGCTTCACCGACAAAGCGGAGATTTCAGACAAAGATTCTTAACGAGGAGCGATCTACCCCAACAGGAAATAGTAACCAAAATGCCTCCCCCCACCGATCATTTCTTTTCTATCCCACTTGTCCTCGAAGCCGATTATTGGGAAGAAGTTTCAGAATCAGCAGCGTCGGGGTTGTACGGGCGTTTGAGGACCTCGAGAGTCCCTGTTCACGACATGCATTAGTATGGATTCTTTTCACATAGAGGTCCATGAATAGGGTAGCTGGCTTACGTTGTACAATGCTCAGGGCAGACTGTCTCTTGCCATCTGCGTCTTCGTACGAACGCATGGTGGCATCGCCCTCAATGTACACAAGGGTACTAGTAGAACAAGAAACCATCAACATCAGAATTCGAACTGCTCTCAGTCTGCAACCATAACCCAACAATGCGATGGGTACACAGGTCATACAGATAGAGCTGCAAGCATGATAAGCGGAAATACTCACCCCTTTGGCAGGCTGAGAATGAAATCCCGCTGCGAACCTTCAGGCTGGAAGCTCGAGACGCGGAACCAGCTGGTCTGCCGGTTATCCCCTCTGCCGTAGGTTGTACCCACCGCATACTTGATGACATCCTGACCGGTTGAGGTGGCGTGCAGCTCGGGCTCGGCAGCGAGACGGCCAGTGATGATCATGCGTGCGATCGAGCGCGGCGAGGAGGTGCTGAAAGAGCGTGCGGAGAGAGCTGCACCTGAAGAGGCGCGCAGGAAGGGGCGAAGCGACGAGGTGAAGGCAGACATGTCGGTCTGAATGGGTGGAAATATGTTAATTCTGAGCTTGAGTTAGTATTAAATAGTTAGGGAACGTCGAGGAAGAATGATATCTTGTAGGTGCTGATGATGGTCGACAGTGGTCCTCTCCCAGCTCCGCGATGATGCGCGTGGTGATAGTCACGTGATATTTTGCAGGGAAGTACTGAATACGAAGCTAACCCTGGTAGTCACCTTAAAATATTCCCTTCGAGCAAGAATTGCTTCTTCTACGCTAATTTATTGAATGTTAATTGTTATCTGGGATCTATTCGGAGCAACAATGTTTTAGGATCCGAATTTGTCCGCTTAAATTATCTTCTGGCATGGAGCTATGCATGCGTTCCTCCATAGGTGCCTACCGGTATACCCGGACAGGCCAAAGGGATATCCAACGCGGAAGTAGTTCAATGAGCCCAAATACAGTGGTTTCTGACTCCACTGTGAGATGTCAAATGCAGGACATTGCCAGCGCCTTATTTTCGCGAAGGGAAATCCAAAGGAGTACGTGCAACTACGATTGTCCAAGTGCAAGCTATTCAAGTATCTAGCCCTTCAGCTTCCGCCCTTTCGAGCTCCTTTCTGCATCGGCCGTGCGTCCCACTATTGTTATCCTGCTGAACCCTGGAATTATTAATTCACATCGATTTCTCTGCATTTGCCTGGCATTTTCAACCTCGGAGAACCAATTGTCGCAATCCCGCTGCAGTAGAAATAATGGATAACTCGGCTAAGCACATTTAAAAAGAAAATAACTAACTCGGAAATTAACGACGATCCAGCGAACAATCAGAAGATAAAGCGGCGGGATGTCCACTCTCAAAAGGCAGTCCCGGCGCCTAAGAAAGCCGAGAGATCAGACCTGTCATTCCATGCAGCAGATCATCCTACCGTCCTAAACTAATGAAGGCTAATGATGCTAGCCAGATCAACAGAGATGACGACCATAGAAAGGCCCACTCTGGACGCGAATGTTATCTAATCAGCTTGGGTCCTCGCTAAGGATGAAGTGACCAGCGTGAAACACTTCAGCTTGACTTGCCAGTGGCTTCATGCGTACTGCATCCATCCCCAAATCCGATATGACTGCTCATCATGTCATTTGCTACGCGAGTCATATTCGCATTGTTGTTGTGAATCGGATTCTGAATACTTACTCTACCCTTGACCGTCCAAGTCAACCTGTCATACCGCCTAAAATGTGAAATCAACGCCACAGCTATTGTCACTTATAGTGATAGCAGGCTGTACTGACATCGATCCCTTGAACAATTATCCAATGATTGTCGTTATAAATACACCTATAGCCGACCCCTCGATTGCCCAAGGGACAGGGTCAGGGAATTCCAGACACCTTCCTTGCAGATTACCTTAACCTTCTTTCACAGTTCAGATCATGCAACAGAACCCTGGAATGACTGTCTGCAAGAAGCCCATTACTTGACCGCTGGTAAGGACATGCCTCATAGGGGGTACGTGGCTCACTGTGGCTTACTGATCGTTAGTTTTCGTCGCTTTTGCGAAATACTGATCGTAGATCCCTGCCTAGAAAATACAATTATCATGCATGGCCCCCGGCGATGCAATTATTTGCTTTTCCTTAATCCCCAATCAGCAGTGGAACAACTCGCTTTTTCGATGCGCCTAGTCTGCCGTCCGTCTCGTTTGCATGATTCGGTGTACCGGCTGGGGAGTTATCCCTACAAAATATTATTCCCAGCTCTCTGAGCGCCTGGGCCATAAGGATGCTCCTTTTCACTTTCCGGGTGGTCACGCCGAAAAAGCGCGTATGATGTATATCAGTACATATATGTCTGGAAAGACTTAGATCTCCTTTCGTCTCCCAGCTTGTTCCAAAATTGACAGTCACGTTTCCAAAGTAAAAGCGCAGCTTTGCACTGATTAATGTTGTTCTTTACTGTCATTGTCCACGGTGAACTTACGGGCCAAAGTATGTGAAGAACAATAGGAAAGATCTGTCGACACTATCTCAGAAGTACTCGTCAGCCTCACCAGCCTTCTAAGTTCGGCAACCGTCTCTGTCGATTGCGCTTAAGGTCATTACAAAGTCACCCTCGCAGTCAACATGAGAGTGCTACCTCTCCTTGCTTTGGTTGTCTGCATTATATCTAGACTATCTGTTTCTGCAGCATCGATACCGCATGTTGGTCGCGATAAAATCCAGCCAGTTGGTGCTCTAGAAACAAGACACGAATCGCCAAACACAACGATATCAGGGAGTCAAGCTCCAAGCGGTTCGGCAACGAGCGCAGTAGACCCTGCGACAGCCAGTGTGAACTCCACAACCACTTCTAATACCACCGCACCGGCGTCAACGACTATCGTGTCGCTCAACGCATCGACTGTTTCTGAAAGTGGGTGCATCCTCCCTCATTGGAAAATTCTAAAAGCTAACCATGAAAAGATGGAACAGTCACGCCTGCGCCTGGCGTCCTTCCGCTTGAGCCCCGGGTCACTCCAGCGTTTGGGGTTGGCGGTTTTATCCTTATAGCTACGGGAGCCATTCTTGCACTGATTGGAATACGCAATCTATGGTACCGTCAGAATCCCGCCTGTAAAGAGTTCTTTGAGTTAACATATTTGACTCAGGGTTCAAGTTTTCTTATCTGCTGCCTTTCTTACGAGCTTAGGAGTCACGGTGAGCCTATCGCATGACAAGCATAGTCGTACTGTACACTGACGAATCAGGTCTTGATTGTATATGTAATGAATCCTCCTGTGCGCGTGGCGGTACAAGGAGCATATCTTGTGGCAATTTTCTTCACAGGCGTGACCTTTGGAGCACTTTCCATTGTGTTCAAGGAATTGACCGAAGGGCTTGGATGCCTTCTGGGAGGATTCTGTGTCAGCATGTGGCTTCTTTGCCTGAGGCCGGGAGGACTTCTCACGGACACAAACGCCAAAGCCGGGTTCATCGGCGCGATCTCCGTCGCATTTTACGCTTTGTCATTCAGTCATCACACGCGTCCTTATGGGTTGATAGTGTCAGCTGCAGTTTCGGGAGGTACGGCTGTTGCGCTGGGAATCGACTGCTATAGCCGGGCTGGACTGAAAGAGTTCTGGCTCTATATATGGGGTAAGTGCGGCTTATGTTGTTTTCAGTCACAATCTTACTCACTCTCCATGAAGGACTCAACGAAGACGTATTCCCGCTGGGCACTGGAACCTACCCCATCACTCGCAATATCCGGGTAGAGCTGGCCGTCACAGTGATTGTTGCCATCTTAGGTGTAGTGTCGCAGCTCAGACTGTGGAAAGTGATCAGAGAGAAGCGAAGCAAGGAGGAAGCAGCCAAGAAAGAGGAAGAGAAACGGAAAGAAGGGGCCGAAGCTGAAATTGCCCGCAGGCTCGAGGAGAATAATATGCGAGAAAGACAAGCATGGGAAGCTCAATACGCGGTTGTGGAAGCAAAACTCATGCCGGAGCTTGGAGACGGCACTCAATGTGCTGCTGATAAGGAGGATCTTGAGAAGGGTGACGTGGCCGACCTCAACAGCATTTCCGGTTCATCGCAGGTCTCTTATCGCTGCTCTGACTGTAGAAAACAGGAGGGCAGTGAGGGGTCGTTCTCGGATGTGACTCAGGCTACGGATAATACTGAAGTTGAACGACATGGAGACACGACTGAGAAGACAACTGGCGGCCCACACCCAATGCCATTCAAGGTCTTTGACGGGGCGGCCGCGGCGAGACTGATGGATGATAAGGAATCTGATGTGACTGCCATGGCTGGCTCAGACACCGCGACGGTACGCTCGAAGCGCTTCTCCGGAATGACACTCTGGAAGAGAGTGTCTATACAAAGCAGCCTGAGACCTGCACCATCACAAGAAGCCCTCGCGCATATTGATGACGAGTCGTCGATGTCTGGAGACAGCGCCGTGGATGATAGCAGTGATAGACGCTCGAGCTCGGATTGTCATGGCGTTGAAATTGAATCGCGCGAAGATGAGGTCGAGGCTCGCTCGGAGCCTGAAATAGCAGTGCAAGAAGCTTTCATCCCCTCTGATAGGCGTAATAGCAACGTGGAAGTTGGAAAAGGCGAAGGAACCGACGGCGAAGAAGAATGCCTCGTCATTCAGGAATCGGTCCTTGTCCAAGAAACAGATGTTCACGGAGAGGAGGAAGGCTTGCGCAATGCGGAAGAAAGAGACACTTCTACGGATGACAAGCTACAGAAGGAATTGACATTGGAGGCTCAAGATGTTGGCCAGAATGAAAGTCATCCATCTGATGACACAGAGGAAAGTTTGCAAGGACTTGAGCCCCGGCCTGATAATCGGCCGGAGAACAAGAAGACAGAGGACGAACAGTCGACAACGCAAGCTGATGGAGAATGTGCACCATTGCCTTCTCGAGCCGATGCAGTGGCCGAAGAGGTCTCTGCGAGAACACAACGACAGTCTTTAGATATCACCAAAGGTTTACAGACAAACGCCCCAGCCGAGACTGCAGACTGCAATGACAGAAATTCGGTTGAACAAAATACGACTAGCCGCTCGGAGGAGCAGAACGCTCAAGTGTCAGGGGACCATACTATATTGAAGACGACGCCGCCCACAGGTGCTGAATCCGAGTGGCAGCGACCCTCGCCGTCGCATTCCAAACGAAAGAGTAAAAGGAAAACGGAAAAGCCCAAACTGGACGCCAAAACAGTGAAACATCTCCCGGAGCGGACATCGAGGGTAATCCAGACCTATCGCACGAATGAATGGGCCAAGCATCTCTGTGATGCAGAAATTCCCGAGCCAGAACCTATCCAGCCTATTGCAAAGGAAGCAGCGGAAAGTCCTATAGAGGCTGAAGAGGCTCCTGCTCCTGTCAATGTCGATGAGCTGTTGCAAACACCTCTCACTGCGCAGCCACCACCTGCTGCCAATTTGCGTGCCAGCACGGAAAAAGAACAGCACAGCCTTGACGACGGACAGCAAATATCTAACGACCACAGACTGCGCAGAACTTCGCCTATTAGTCCACAAAGAGTTGGAGAAGCTCAACCTGTGGACAGGTCTTCAGGAGAATCTTCCACAATCGTCTTATCCTCCACCAGCCCTCTCCATAGCGCGGTGTTCTACGGCGCCGGACATAATGCTTCCCCAGGCACATCCAGCCCACCTATCCCCGCTGAACAACCTCAGGGGGACCCTGAGCTCACCAAACCGAGGTGGAAAGGGCCGCCCCACTCCTCGCAATACGAGAGGATATGATGCGGAGTCGGGTTTCGTCTACTTGTCTCAGCCTTGATCCGTGGGCGTCGCGGAAGATCCCTAGGCAGTCGAGCCCTAGACAGTCCGTTGCATTGGATACTTCGGCCCAAAGTTCCCCGACGACTTCATTTCCAGAATCAGGGGATGACGTCCCTCTCTCTCGTCGCCGTGCAATGCTGCATCAACATAAAGTCCAGAGCCCGCATACGGGCATGCCAGTCTCTGCGCCGAAATGGAGTCAAACGAGCGTATCGAGACCCGGAAATGCTCAAGCAGTCATGGCCGCGTGGCGAGAATCTATTCGCGAAAACTTGAATGACAAACGCAATCCCTTGGCGAAACAGGATCTACCAATCGGTGCGACAGGCTTTGGCCCTCACACTTCGTTTCCTTTTGGGGCACCAGGGCGAAATTCCTCCTCCCTGCAAGTCAACCTCGACAGGGCAATAGCCGAGGGGATGCAGCGCGGGGATATGAGTGACTTGCATCGGGAAGCCCTGCGACGCATGCAAGCCAGGGCGAATCAAAGCATGAATGGGCGGTAACACAGCACTTTCACACAGATAGACCGATAGAGTTGATCCCGGAGTATTACGCCCTTGGCTACTCCGTACAGACGCGCAGTCCAGACCTGATGTTTCAGCTTTACACATGTTTTACGGGAACAAGTTTGATGTCTGTGGTAAATAGATAATGTTTAGTTTCAAGACAACGGTCCTGACTACCTATGTCCCTTAGAAAAGCGTCTCGTTAAATCAGTTCTACAAATCAAGCTAGGAGACAGTTACGCAAGAAAGACCCATTGTTCGGATGGCCTGGTGCATCCTGGACGATCCGGACGCCTCACTATCAAAAATTTTAATCCACTGGGCTGTTTTTTAGATCATTTGTACTGCTAATCCTTGGGTACTTATGACATAGTTAGGCAAGGAATGGTCGATCTGGCCGAGCCATCCGGCAGACAAATATAGCACCAAATCCAGGGGCTTAGGGCAGGGGACAGTCCGTGATGGTGTTAAATAAATTCCCAAATCAATCTTTTCCCTTGTTAAGTCATACTCCATGGGTGAACTAGATAGAGCCAAACATGACTGCTGTATGAAAATCTGCAAGACTGTGACAAGTGGCTCCTATTCCAATCCTGAGACGTTTGACAGGTATGAACCGCATGACAGAATGCAGGTAATGAAACATCCATCCACGTCCCCATTTTCAATTCAAAGGATTCATAACCAATAATACAAGGCCGTAAGCGTGGGTTTGCTGAGGTACAAAGTACCTCATAGCGTCATACCCTTGATGCTCTCTTTATACAGGAGAGAGACTAAGTTTTCTTGGAGATGGGGGAAAGAGAATTGAGGCGACTCTTGGGCGTTACTTGGGCTATTGGATCGTCTTCGTCATTATTGACTATCCACCTTTGCTCTTAATTTGCGTCCTATATCTATCAATTGTCGCGTCTTTGCTTGTTCTCTTCTCGTCTTTCTTTCCTCTTCCCTTTTTTCCTTCCTTTTCCTGCCTGTGCAGCCTTGATGGGAAGACCTCTTCCGTACTATTGAGACGGAGACCCTGCTTGCTACAAACCATTGGTTGAGAAACATACATAAGTTCGAATCAAATCAAACCAATCCATCTCTTTTCAGTGACTCTCGCACTTGACCACCATCGTCCTGAGCACCAATTCAAACATCATCAGACGTCGACATCGAGGGGCCACCGCGTCGATGTCATTGTGCTCTGCTCGGGCCTTCCATGTCCCCTGCCGCGCCCCTTTCTGAGTCTCGTCCGCCAATCACAGCCTCGTCTGCTGCACACCACCGCCTGCCTCTTTTCTCTCCTCCTCCTCCACCATCATCATCCCTATTATTACTATCATTAATATTGCTCCTACTAGTGATAGTAGTGGTAATATCCTGGCCTCCCCTTAAGCCATTGCGACGACCATTCCGTCCGCTCCTCTACCCCTGTCCTCCGGTGGCTCAGTCCTTGTTCCCAAAACGGCGTCTTCAACGACCTGGGAACACGCGCACATACTATCATCGCCCGAGGCTGAAGAGACTTCCAATACTCGCCTCCACCGCCATCACACCCACCGATCACTCGAGCCCGACCGTCGTGCCTCATCATACTTATCACAGTTTACCGAATACCCGACTCGAAATAGCCTGAAGAAACCCACCCTCCGGAAAAAACAACTCCAAAAACGTGCACATTCATTGCTCACCACTAACATACTCCGACCCCCGGCGGTCCGACTCGCTAACCCAGTCAATTACGTACCCCGAATTACCCCCGTCACTGTCCCGCATCCGCTGCAGATCTCCGACGAGCACCTGCCTCTGGAAGCGCACCGAGACGCGTATCCGCTTCTGACCATCCCGGAACGACGCCGCAGTCGATTGTCACAATCTCCAACTAGCTTGGTAGTAGAGCGCAGTCAAGGCGAGGCCGAGAGTGGACGCTCCAGCATCGCAGTGCCTCGAGGGCAGAGGCGCAGTGGCACATTCGATCACCATTCCGCTGTGCAGGAGATGTCCGAACAGGCGGAACACAGCAACAATGGTTTTCAAGAGGGAAAAGACCTTCGGTCGCCCGAACGGGCCCATCTAGCTCAGGATACACTCGCTGATCGACAGGGATCGTTGGGTCCGTTGCATGGGGATCGTCCGCGCCATATACCATCGCAGGTTTCCCTTCGTTCACAATCACAAATCGCCTCGATTCCGTCAAACACAGGCGCGCCACCGACCGGCGGAGAGGCTGAAGTCGCGGAGGAGTTGGCATGGGGCCCCGCGCATCCTTGTTACCCTCATGTCAATCCACATGTTCCCATCGGGTCGCAGGAGTATCTCACAACTCGAATCATTCGAATACGACGCGATTGGATGGTGAAGGGGGATCTGGCGCCGACGTTCTCGAACCTCTATCCTGAGATTCTGGACCCGTTACTGCCGGAACAGGAGTTTCGGCGGGTTATTGCGACGGTGAACGAGGAATTCATCAAGGCGTTTGATCCGTTCAGTTTCCGCAATCTGCTTGATGGCGCGCTGGGTCTGGTCACAGGTTGGCTGTGGGAAGATATTGGTGCCCCTGGTATCAAGAGCCATCTGCAACGGGTGGAGGATTGGCTTGACAAGTGGAATCGTGAGGTCGGCGCGAAGGATGGGGTACATATATGGAGCCTGCGACGGACGGCATACATGTCTTTGGACATCCAAATTCCGGATCCCAAGGTTGGCATCATCCACAGCGAGGGCGTGTCACTGCCGGGAACGAGACCAAACAGTGGCGTTGGGCTTGGATTCTAAAGCTGCAACACGTCAGGTATACTGTCATCTGGGACCTTGCCTTCTTTCTCTTTCCTCTTACTTTAATACCTTTATACCCCTTTTAATTCTTGTATACCCCTGAACGGCCGTTGTGCGTGATATCTAGCCGGTTTGAAGGCGAATTCGGAATACTGGACTTTTTACATGTTGGATCTTGTCATATTCATGATACCACGTCCGCAATTTCAGGCTTGTTTCTCTGAGATTGAATCTGTTGCAGAGGACATGCTGATCTGTTCATATGCATGTCCGTCATTGTGTCTAAGCTATCTGCTGTACCTGTGACCTTTGTACTTAGGAACTTATACTGCTAAATTATATGCAGCAACCATCAACTGAGCATCACATTTCATGTAAATACTTGCTCAAACATTGTGCGTCTTAGCAGTAATAATAATCTTGGTGAAATGGTTGGCTTGATTGATAGTATTTCAGTAGAAATGTTCTGGACTAAACTGACCAACTTCCCCACCTCCGGCCCCAATTTATCCTGAGAGCTTCTCCGGCAAGATCCCCAATTTCATCCCTCTCTTCTGCCAGGGCACCCGTTCCAACGCCCTCCTTTCCCCCTTCCAGTGAGGCCATATTCAAAATGCTCTCCGGAATTCTCGTCTTCAACCAAAAGGGCGAGAATCTCATCTTCCGCTCCTTTCGCAATGACTGCCGGCCGCGCCTGGCCGACATCTTCCGCATCCAAGTCATTTCCAACCCCCAAGTGCGCTCGCCCATTCTGACGCTGGGATCGACGACGTTCAGCCACGTCAAGCACGAGAATATCTACCTGGTGGCGGTGACCAAGAGCAATGCCAACGCAGCATTGGTGTTTGAGTTTCTGTACCGGCTGGTGTTGCTGGGGAAGAGCTACTTTGGGAAATTCGACGAGGAGGCCGTCAAGAATAACTTTGTTCTGATTTATGAGTTGCTGGATGGTGAGTACTGGCATTCAAACAGGGGGACTGAGTGGAGGATAACCGTATTCCAGAAATCCTCGACTTTGGTTATCCCCAAAACACCGACCCGGACACGCTCAAAATGTACATCACAACGGAGGGCGTCAAGTCCGCCATCGTCAACAACCCGACAGACTCGAGCCGGATCACAATGCAAGCAACCGGTGCGCTCTCCTGGCGCCGCGCAGACGTCAAGTACCGCAAGAACGAAGCCTTCGTGGACGTAATCGAGGACGTGAACCTGCTCATGTCCGCGACGGGCACCGTGCTCCGCGCCGACGTCACCGGCCAGATCGTCATGCGCGCCTACCTCTCCGGCACCCCGGAGTGCAAGTTCGGGCTGAACGACCGCCTCCTCCTCGACGGCGACAGCGGCGGCCCTGGCGGCGCAGGCTCGTCCTCATCCTCGCACGCCCCCTCCGGCAGCAAAGCGACACGCGCGGCCGCCGGCTCCGTCACGCTCGAAGACTGCCAGTTCCACCAATGCGTGAAACTGGGCCGCTTCGACGCGGACCGGATCATCTCGTTTGTGCCGCCGGACGGCGAGTTCGAGCTGATGCGGTACCGCGCCACGGAGAACGTCAATCTTCCCTTCAAGGTGCACCCGATCGTGCGCGAGGTCGGCACCACCAAGGTCGAGTACAGCGTTGCCATCAAGGCGAACTACAGCTCGAAGCTGTTCGCGACGAATGTCGTCATCCGCATCCCGACGCCGCTGAACACGGCCAAGACGACCGAGCGGACGAGCCAGGGCCGCGCCAAGTACGAGCCCGAGCATAACAATATCGTCTGGAAGATTGCGCGGTTCTCCGGCGGCAGCGAGTACGTGCTTACGGCGGAGGCGACCCTGACGAGCATGACGAACCAGAAGGCGTGGAGCCGGCCGCCGCTGAGTCTGTCTTTTAGTTTGTTGATGTTTACCAGTAGTGGGTTGCTGGTGCGGTATCTCAAGGTGTTTGAGAAGAGCAACTATAGTAGTGTCAAGTGGGTGCGGTATATGACTCGTGCGGGCAGTTATGAAATCAGGTACTTCCCCTCTCTCCCTCCCTCCCTGGCTACCCCTGTTTATATACTACTCTGAGAGCGTGACTAACGAACTTTTCTGCAGATTCTAGATAGTGCATCCTCTGCATTCCCGTTATCTTCGCTACGATCATTGAGCTGGGTGTTTGGCGTTCGGACCATTTCATCACTATCACTACCATCAGCATTTCCTGTATTATTTTAGTTCAAGTCCTCCTACAAATACAATAATAGACTTTCTGTATAAAACCGAGTCATTTACGGAGTATTCCGAGAACAATACATTATTATGCTGTGAGGTTGGACAAAGAACGCACTGCATAAAGAACAAGAAAGATGACAAGTTCTGATTGGACACGGAATGACGCCAGATGATGATACAGAAATTTTAGATAGTATTATACATCGGTACGAGTATATAGACAAGATAGATCACAGTCCAAAGCCGGCAGGCAATTCGCGACGGCGATTGCATATAAGGTAACCAAACACCGAAGAACCGGAAGACAATAAATAATAAAAACCACTGCCGTAAACATAGGTTATGGTCGAAAGTAGAGTCGATCGGATGTCGTAAAAATACATAGCACTTGGGATAGAAGAAAGGTATATCCATGAATCAGGTATCAAGTTCAGTCGTGGCAGTGGTCGAAGGCGACGGAAGTAGAATAGAGCAGCTACAGCCAACTCTCGTCGATTCGGCCACGGACCATCCGTCGTCCGCGTCGCAATCCCACATTCCCCTCTCCAATGAGCGCCTCCCACCTGCGCCCAATGCTATCCTGATCCTTGCCGAGTTGGCGCGCGCACTCGTCCCAGTCGCGCTTGGAGAGCTGGAATTTTTCTAGGACAACCTCCACAAGTTGCCGGTCGTCCTCCGAGGTCCAAGAATCTGGCCCCGTTTCTTCAATGGACGGTAGCGCTGCGTCGGGATCAAAGTGTGACTGCGAGGAGGGCGACGGCGAGGGCGGTAGCGGTGCGCGCACCTCGTCGCAAAGCTCTTGCTGTCGTCGCTGCGCAGGAGAGGGCGGCGATTGTGTGGTTGGTGGTGAATTCAGAGAATAAAAATCTGATTGCGATAGACCCAGAGGGAGATCGTAGGGGACGTAGCGTCGACGCTTTGGTGTGGAAAATCGAGCGCGTGGAGTGTGATCTTCTGAGTCTGCGTCGCTGTCTGCTTCGTAGCTGACGCGCGTGCGCTTATTTGCGCCACGAGAGGGTTTTGGTGACGGTTTAGGAGAGCAAGGTCGAGTGCGCGTCTGTGTCTGTGTCTTTGGCTTTCGCGGTCGTGTGGAGGATGTGGAGGTTGTCGAAGATGCGAGGTGAAAGGGGCTCTGGAGACGTTCTGGTTTGGCTCGTCGCGAAGACGGTGCGGGAGAGCCACTTAGAAGAGACTGAAGGGCGCGACAGGTTCCTAGTAACCCATTGCTTGATGGAAAGAAGTCGTTGTCGGATGGGGGAGGCGTCGAGAAGAGGCGGTTAGGTGTGAAGCGCGACCGGGTTGAGGAGCGTCGCATGTCGCAGGGAAGCGCAGAAGGGAGCAACATAGTTGCAAGGTTGGGTATCAAATATAGCAAGCAACACAGAATGAAAAATTGTATAGATAGATCTGATAGTCGTGGTTGTTGAATGAAGGGAATGATTTTGTGTGCGCGCGCCAGAGGAATGCGCCAGGCGCGAAGCGTTTTGCGCCAGGGGAGGTCCAGTCGGCAGTAAAACGCGATACGAAAATCAAAATGAGTGAATGATAGATTCCAAAATGAGCGCTCTTAAATGGTATAGTTTCCGAGGTATGCGATTGACTTGGTGGATGGAATAATGATGGAGGAGGGAGAGAGTTGTGGGAGTTGAGATGGAAACAATAATAATGTAGCGATAATAATTAAAATTTGGGGGGTGTGAAGGGAGCCCAGTGGATAGTGGGAGGGACACGGGCACTGTCACTGTCACTGTCACTGTCGCAGAGTGGAGTTCCGCAAGCGGCGATAAGCTAAATATGAATCGAATATCGAGGGATTGTAGATATCAGGTACGCTGTGGATACTCAAAGAACATTTTTAGAATCATGAATAAAGAAATGTCTGCAGAACCCTCAAGCACTTTCTTTGCAGTTGCAGGATTAATTGAAAGATGGAGCGCCGTCTGAAAGGACAAAAGACTCCGAGACCTCTCTCTGTGTCCCTTTCCTCTTGGTTCGTCTTTTGTTCCTTGATGTCTCCTCGACAGGAGGGAGACCCCGTCTTATTACCCTCGTTCTGCTCGAATTGATGCTGCCTTGACCAGATTCATGAACTACTGATTTCCTCTCTGTCTGATCTACAGTCCCTGTCTACATACACTATGATGTTCATTGACTCCAACTGAGACACGAGGGGGAGAGGGATGAAAGTTCGACCTTGCATCATCGTCCCGAGCAACAAGCCACATCTTCAATTGACCAGGTCATCCGGTGACACGCCATGAAGTCATTGCTCTCTGGACTGAGCATGCTCGGAAGGATCGGCTAAGCATTGCATGTGCAGCTGCATGTGCATGTTCGCTGACATTCTATAAGCGTGTCATAAGATGAGGTTACGGACCAAGACAGTCATGAAAACACCTCCCAGACAGTTCTCGAAATCAATGAAATCACCTTGAATAGAAGTTAGCAGTGAGAAGAACCGTGTCTCTAATGCCCTGGTTCGGAGTCTCAGGGAACAATGTCCCCCCATTCTTTCCCTCTAGGATAGCATCCTGCGGTTCATCCCAATCCTCTCCAGCAGAAGTAATAAAGACCATCCTAAGTCCTGTAGACTTGCTTAATTCTCTCAACTATCCATCATCCGTAATGGTCCTCTTTCTTCTCCCACTTCCGGTGATTCAGCCATGACAACCGCGCGGTTTCCTGATCAGGTAAAATTACAGACACGACGCGAGACGCGTCGATACGCGTCCAGTTCGCGTCTTCGCGTTGACCAATCAGAATAACACTGACACCTCAGGCTACACACGCACGTTGTGCTCGATGCCTGAAGATCACGGCCACGATTCCACTTCAAGTTAGTTGATACGAAGACAATTGAGCTATAACGATGGAGAGCCTAACAATTCACTACGTGCCGTACGGAGTAGTAGCAGAGACAGTCCCTGCCGAAATGCAAGGGTACCGATTCCGAAAACCCTCCTATCATCCCATCTTATCGGTGGTATCGATAGGGACCACGATAGTAGCCATCAATCCACCGAAGATCCCACCCTTGTCCCTTGCGTCTCTGAGACATTCAACATTCTTGCTCGTGGATAAACCTCACTTTAGGAGCTTTGAGACTAATAATGTTCTGATCAATCATCAAAGTTCCTCTGTGAGTGGCGGAGACTCTCTCCTTTGTCCCTACAGCCTTGTGTTTCACCAGGCTTAGACAGCCAGGCTTTGCTTGATTCAAGCCAGGGACACCCTGTCTCTGCTAGGTCAACCCTGTATGGGTACCACTGACCTTGCTTGAACTAGCTTGATGCAAAGATACGGTCGTGAGGCTGCTTGATCATTTGGCGGCCATAATGCATCAACCTGCAGCTCATGGGGCCTTATTCTTATGGTTCTGGGAGCATATATCATGCTTAGCTTAAGCCACAAGCACAAATTTCTTTGGTATCTGGCTGGCGACACAGACCGTGACAAAATACAGCAACGACATGCGCCTCCCGGATGGTGATCCTCAACAAAGAGCTTCATGATCCTCGAGACACACAAGTCTACGAAGGGAGCACAGGGCGTGAAACATCCTTTGCTGCCCTTTTCAATGTGCAGTATTCATCAGCTTTACACATCAAGGGCTTACATCACCAGGCAACCAGGGCAGAGTCTAGGGTGACAGCTAAGCGAAGTCGTATCCTCCCGTCGCCTGGACAAACGAGTCCCAGCCTTCGGCGGGCTCGACACATGCAAGGGATCTAGACCCAAGTCCTCCAATCGACAATAGTACACCGCATCTCGCCGACAGCTATGATCAACCATTCCGCAAGCACGATGATGCAAGACATGCAGTGACACCCCGCAGCCCTGAAATTGAGTCTTGAAGATTGACATATACAAGTGATCATACTCAACTGTCATGGCAACATTCGCAACCCTTCAGAGATGCATTGCAGATTTTGATCAATGAGCACCACACGGTGCTAGTGTCGAGTATAGCTCATGATTACTATCGTGCTTATATGTCGTTGGTCCATCAGAGTCTCGCTCAAATCGTTATTCCATTTCCCGGGTCCTAACAAGGATGACATCTTCCGGCCTGAGGCGAGATGATCCCCTATCCGTACCGTCAGAACTAGAACTTCAGTCCAAAATGCCTCAGTCTCCTCCATTGGGATACTTTCGAGTGAGCGACTAGCAGATCTACAGGGTCAAGCTAAAGTAGCGCCATGGCCAGACAACCATCGATATTCCCTTGTATACCTCTCTAGCTGGGCTCAAAATTAGCTGTAAAAGTCTAACTACGTCCCAGATGATCAAGGCTGCTGGATGTAGTGAGTGTACTATCACAAATATTTGCAGAATCCGGCTCTTGTTGGGCTGTGCAACTCTGCCTCTAATCATCTTTGCCAGCCTACAAAGTATTACACTGCCCATGCTTAACGCTCTTTGCGTTCACCTCACGGAGAAACGGAGCCTATATTGCTGAGAGGTTATCCTTCTTCAGGACGGATTCGACGGATCAACATCACCAGCCGGCGTCAGATGAGTCTTTCGACGTGAAGGATGGACCGATACAGCATATTGTTATTGTTCTTGCTATTATCAACAGTACCCAGTAACTACCTACTCTGTACTCTATTCAGATATAATTAGTTACCCTCCCATTCATTCTGCGCATAATTGTCCCATTCGCTATATAAAAGCCACTAGATATGAGGCTTTAGCCTGCCCAGTGTCAAGCCTGGGTTGACAGTACTTTATCATTCTACACTCAGCGTTATTGAAGACGAAACCTTAAAGTACTACAGCCTTGAATCTAGGTCTCGAGAGCTTGTTCAGCTATGACCCACCGGTTAAGCGTGCACTGACTTGATCTTAGCTAGAGGTGGCGCAGATCAGAAGATGAGTTCAAGTCAATCTACGACAAGTCTCCTTGGGCAGACAGCGGCTACGAACCCTAATAAGAAGCTGAGCGACTAGGGAGATACATGCGTATAAAGCCCTTCAAAGAGCCTTCTCGTAAACTAGTTCAAGGTTAATCCAGGACTCCCACATCCTTTGAACAATATTCAATCAAATCAACTACCTCCTGTCAAGTACGCCCACATAATGCCATCTAACAAAGATCGTCTGTATGTTGCTCTTTATGAACGTTGAGACAGACCTACCATGCCAGGCAAGTAAGACACGTGAGTTCATCATGCAGGCACCCCGGCATTGCAGCAATCGAAGACTAATGTCCCGTCCGAGCAAGGTACCACTGGGCCTTGATTGTAGGCCCAAAAGTTGGAGATGAGGGTAGTCTGGGGGTCCGTTACCACGCAAAGGAAAGGCCAAAAGTTGCAGGGGTTTCTGAATGGTTCTTTGAGGAGAGCGAGTGTACACCTGCCCCTTCTAGCATGTTGCTTGTTCGTATAATGATTGGCAAGGTAGCAGATGCAAATCGCCTCGTTGGAATTCTGCAGAATACGCCTATTCGGCAGGGCCATCCAGGTTGGAACTGTGTCTTCTGTGTCAAGGAGGCTCTGGAAAAGCTCAAGGTCAATCCCAGCGCTTTAGGCACGAGTGTCGACGACTGGGAAACGGTGCGCCGCGAGGCGATAAATTATTGTCAACGGAAGAAAGAGCAGCACCGTTTCGATGGCCAGGGTGACTTTAATATGAGACAGGCTCCAACCTATGACTTGATGGAGCGGAAGGAGATCATCGTGTGAATCGCAACTCACAAGCCAGTACTACTTAAACATCTCCAAAGTGTCTTTGAAGGATCTCTATCACATAGTCTGTCCGTCAACTTGAAAACATTCCCTTCTCGAGGTCCAATATGCTTAAGGAGTTTGATGGCTGGAAGTGTCGACCACCGATACAGGACGTTGTCATTGAGTGGTTTGGATGCGCTCAACGAAGATGGGCGCCCTTTTCGACTCGATGACATCATGATTGTATTCGCTAGAAGGGAAGTGTTGAAGTGGATGTAGATAGACAGCTCGTCTTAGGTGGGTCTGTCCTGAAGATGCGGATACCAACTTATATTCTAATCGTTATAGAGGGCATGGATTGGAGCGCCATACCTTCCGAAGATTCAAACCATAGTTTGCCTTAGGTATTCTGGTGTGACCTGAGAACAGTCTAGCAATCTCGCTCAGGATACTTCACTGAGATTTAAACATCTTTGTCATCTTTTTGGCTCGTACCTGCCTCCGTACTGATACACCTTCAACAACCTGGCGCTCGCCGAATTGGATCAAATCCAGCTTTTGACAATGTTCGTGCCATATACTAAATGCTGCCGCTTCCCGGTGATACTATTTCTGACCTCCTCGTAGACCTCATTCTCCAATTCCTCCCAGGTGTTCTGAGTACGCTTCTTTCCTGTTGGGCAATCGTTTATACCCTTCAACAGTGCAGTATTGGCCTTCGAAAAATCCGGGATTATAGATGGGATTGCCCACTCATACTGGTTGAACTGTTCGCTTTCACCTCTGAGTACTTCAGATTGCTCTGAAGTTTCCAGGCTTTGCTCGGGGGAATCTAACTTCCTTGCTTCTGAGTCAATCTCGGCAATGTCTTTTTCCAAATCATGGAGTTGAAGTGGATGGTTGTCTAGTCGGCCGTGTGGCGGTAGGTCAGGGTCAGAGAGTGTTGGAGAGAGATCTCTGCGTAGTTCAGGCGATTGTGGTTCCTTTAATATTGTCTCTTGAGCGACACTTGCCCTTGGAAGAGCTGATTTAGAAAACCCACTTGGCAAACTCTCTTGGGAATGTTGAATCTGAACGACATCTCCGTTCGTCTTCCGGACCTGAATCAGATCGCGGAGCTCGACCATCAGTGGCTCCTTCGGTGCTCGAGGCTTCCAGTCCCTAATGGATCGCTTGTAAAGAGCTTCAAACGCCTCTTTATGAGCGGGGTTGGTAAACCAACAATGACCCAATGCTTGCTTCACATCCATGCGCTTTGTCTCATCGAAGAGCAGGAGACGAAGAACAAAGTCTTTCGCCCGCTTGCCAATCATATTGCAGGCCAAATCCGCCTTGAGACCGTCAAGGGCACCCTGTCGATTGCCCTGGCTGGTTTCCTGCTCAGGTGATGGAGAGCTGAAAGGAGGTTCCCCAGTCAGAAGCACGGTCGTAACACAACCTAGGGACCACAGATCTACGGCTTTTGTATAGCCTTGCCGGCTGGATCGAAGGACTTCGCTGGGACAAGAGTCAGTATATCAAATTATGGAAGCCTAGCTGCACTTACGGAGCACTATAGTCATACGTGCCGATTTTCGTAGACATCCTTTCAATTCGTGGCTGTATCAGCCTCGCACATCCAAAGTCAGTGAGCACCACTCTACTCCCATCCGCTAGGGACGTCATGAGAATATTGTCTGGCTTCAAGTCTCTGTGAACAATATTCTGTTCATGGAGGTAATCCAGAGCCATGAGAACCTGTCTCACAATCACGGCGGCTTCAATGTCACCAAGCTTCCCACCTTTGTATTGGATGAACGAGAACAAGTCACCAGCGGTCACGAGGCCCTGAAAAAGATATCTTTCTTCCGTTAGTGCAGCTTTGGGTCTCATCAAAGGCTCGCCTTACATTGTATTGCTTGATCGGATCACCTTTTCAACTCTAATAATATTCGGCTTTCATTGTCCGTTAGCGACTTTCTGATGAGAATCGAGCAAAACCTACGTGGCAGAGCCTTGCCAGGATTCTGGCTTCCCGGTCATATATTTCGAGTTTCTCCTTGATCTTCCCTGCGATGTACCCATTTTGTGCGCGCACTGCAACTATGCGATCCTTACCCATCTCAAAGAACCTGGATCTTCTACCGTCAAACTCTTCAAGAACTTTATCTTTCAAAGTCCGGAGGTCAACGATCTTGCATGCAAGCTGCTGACCAGTGTCTTTGCTGAACGCCATATGCACCTTCCCATATGCCCCTGATCCTAATTTTCGCTGTGTAATCGTGTACTGATCCTCGAAAACCTGCCCGCAATCAGCTTGCGTCCAAACTGTAGCAGAAAATAAGGCCCACCCTCATCTCGACTCTCTGCAGCATGTCAAAGTGATCCTCTGCTCTGTGACCGTCACGCCGGTACAAAAGGTGAACACTCGGGGACAGTTTCAGAATATCGCCATCACTGAGGAGAAAGCTGCCATTTCCATTTCCCATGGGATAGTTGTTCCACGACGTGCCGTTCAGCGAGATATCTTGAGCGTATACTAACGGTGCGACTTCGTCGGGATTGTCTTGGTCGAAGATGATGGTGTATATTCGGAGGTGTCTGTTCGAGATGAATGGATCGCTTACGACGTATTGGCTAATATCCCAATTAGCTTTGAAGGGTTCATAGAAAGAGAGTTTCCGTACCATCGCTTCGGGTCTCGACCGACGTATATCTCGTTACTGCTGGTTATAGTTAAGGGGTTGCTTGTCGTTCCAGTCTGTGGGTCCACTTCGAGAAGTGTACCGACATAACAGCCTCGACAGGAGGGCTGGTGTTTAGACATTATACAAAGTAGAGATTAGAATAGTAAGGGAATACAGAGAGGGTGCGGGGGAAGAGACTATAATCATGCAAGACTAATGATGGCGGTTGGCTTGTCGCTGTCAAGAGGTTTAGAAGTCTTAAGCAGCTCATAGCACCTCATCGTCAGAAGTCAGGTGTTGTGTGCAATAGTACTAATGTCACTGGTCAAGTCTGCGCATCGAAAAGTCATCATCCATTTCAGCTTCGTTTCTTACAATTCTATTTCGTACAGGACATCAATGTTCGCAAATTTTCAATCATCAAGCGTTGACACATCTCACCAATTACTTTCCCTGCATTCTTCGAATGCGTTCTTCCGCTGCTCTAGCGCGACGCTCTCGCTCCAGTCTCATCCTCATCTCTGGTGTCATTCCCTCATTTCTTCTTCCCTCTTTTCCGATGCTGTCTTTTCCATCGCTCCTAATGCTCGGCCTCCCGCTTTTCTTGATTCTTGCAGCGAGGCTGCTCTAGCAGCTTCCTCCTTCTTTAACCGCTCTAATTCGGTATTGCGCCTCTTTGCCTCTTCCTCTTCTGCAGCTTTCTGCTCCCTTTCTGCGCGACTATCAACTTCCTCCTTGGATATCGCCGCTGGGACCTTGGCAGCGTCCCAGTTCCATTTGGACTCTCCCAGTTTGTGACGTGCAACACGGAATGCATCACGGGTAGCTCGGTCACCGGCAAGCTCGAAAGCAGTTCTTCCTTCGCCGTTGACAATCGTTGGATCAGCCTCTGCCTTTGTGAGGAGGGCCGAAACTACCGATGGGGAGTTCAAATTTGCTGCAAAATGCAAGGGAGTAGGACAGCGGAAATTTTGCGGAGAATCTGATGGACGGAACGAGAAAGATGAGGGTATAGAGTTTTTGGAGAGATAGGACATCAAAGCCGGTACTTTCGACCGTCGAATCAGGGCTTGGATCTGAGATGTATGCAGTATAGCTTCCTCCTCCTCCTTTGACGCTTTGGGCTTCTGTTGTTGCGGCCGTGGTGTTGGAGGCTTGACCGCTTCTGCCCTCCGTTTTGCCTCTGCTGCTGCAAGGGCTGCTTCATCGATCTGGCTCACCTTGACGCGAGTAAGTTCTTTAAAGCACCTCATAAGCTCGTCTTGCGTGGCTCGACGAGTGCTGAATGGAAACCCTCTTATTCTGGGATCATTCTGTTTTAGAAATTGACCCTCATACTGGCCAAACAGGATCTTTCGGTTGGTATTGCCAGTCGCTCGGATGAACAACAGTTGCGCACTATCGATCATCTCCTTCCAGTCTCTCAGGAGCTCTCTGATCTCCTTCTCCAAAGCAGCCTCGTTATACCTTCGAAGGCTGGAACCAGCCGAATGTGCGGCTCCTCGAGCGGCGTCACTAGCAGATTGAGAACCACCCTGCTTTCGTCTCGTTGTATAGCGGTGGAATGACTTATGGGCGATGACGCGAGCCTGCCGCTCCTCAACGCCACCTTGTTTGCGATGAATTTCAGGGGTCAGAGAGACCAACATGGCAGCGAAATGGCCACCTCCTATCATGCACATGAAAATATGCGGACTGGGGGTGGTTCCATTCGTTTGTGGTTGTGCATTCGGTCTTTGTGTCGGTAGCGGTGATAGTTGCTTCTTTCGCAACGAATCAACGAGGTGTTTAGGCTCATCCTGTTCGTCGTTCGAGAACAAAGCTCTATAGACACCTAGTGATGTGTTGGATGGCAACACAGAGCTTGAAAGCCAGTAAAGAGGGTTCCTGGAAGCGGGCTTCTTGCTTGCTGACTCCTCCGCCTCTTCAGCTACCTGGGCTACCCTGGCCTGCCTTTTCAGCAAGGCCGAGAGCTGCCCGTCTTCTTCATCGTCTTCCTCCTCTGACGACTCGGAGCCAGATATCGACTCATCCAAATCTCCAACCGCTTTAGCAAATTGTGCCTCGTCTAAAGTAGGGTTGCCTCGAGACTGCGCTTTGACGTTGAATCTGTGGTGGTCCGACCGAACGTGCTCCCGTTGTTCTTGTACATTCAAAAAGGAGGAGACATTGCAAAGTGCGCAAGATGTGGAGGTAGCGATCACCGGGTCTAGCGTCGACGGATCGAGCGGTTCTCTAGAGGGTTCGACAGTATCTTCGACAGCTATGGATTGGTCCTCGCCCTTGGCGGTTAAAGTCGAAAGAAGCTCCTGAGGAAGATCATATACTAATGAGGGTCAGCTATGCCCACACATAATTTAGAACATGGAAAGAAAATGCTCACCATATAGAGGTCTTTTCAATAACTCTTCCACCAAAGGAGTGTCTGCGACCATTGCGTTATCAGGTAGTTTATCCCAGGATATGTTCGATCGCGGAGTCGCAAAACACTGCGGCGAAATGTGTGTCCCTCCAAAGGGAATAGTGTAGGTACCGCCTTCGTGTGGGGCTACCACTGTATTTTGAGAACGCAAGCACCAGGATCATTGATTTTAAGAAGATTCCCAATCATCCATTTTTGATGAAAGTGTTCTAGAATCTTCCGCCCAGTCATGTTTTGCTTTGCTTACTGACTCACAAACGAGAGTTAGTCATAGTGGCTGGGTAACTAGCGCAGGAGTCGTTACATGGACCTCAAGCGGGGACCCGATATGGCAATTGTTGACCGACCAAGTAAATTGCTATGATCGCGCAACAGCCAGGCCATTATACAGAGTCATTTATAAGAAATCTATGAGTTGAGTAGCGCATAGGAATACTATACAGGCACCATGGTCCTAGCTAGTTGCGATTGGGACGCTGGTGAACCCAGGATACTGAATCATTCGACCGTTTGTCCCAAAAGAGTGGTGCTTTATATATATATATGAAATCTGTTGCATGCTCTGTACGTCATGTTCGATAGTAGATCGTTATATGGCATTGACTGATTTCTTGCATCGACAATCGGGAGCTGCATACTTCCAATCTTTCATGAAAAAAGGTCAAACTGCAATCTGATCATCACCGTATTGTGTTAACAAGTAGTGCAGGGATTGTCAAACAACAAATAGAAGATCGGTGGATCCCAGAAAAGCCTCAACTTGCAAGGCATTACATCATCGAGGATTGATCAAGATAAGAGATTTTATGGATTACGGAGCAAGGTTCATTCTTAGTAGCTGCGAGCTTAAATCCGGCTGAATTGGGGTAGCTATCTTGAATATGCTCGCCTCCTAAACGGAGAATACCGCGTATGTCTTAAGCTCCAAGAGTTCATCTTCAGAAATTGAACTCCCTGCTTATTGATGGGAGTCACGGAGAAGGTAGGAAATGTCATGCCAAGCGACCCAAGAGCTTTCCCGAACCGAACTGACGGTTGCGGCCTTATTCCTCGGAAATAAGCACGAAGGGTTATGTCATTATTGAAATCGCAACAGACAGTATTATAGTTAACATTTGTTGGAAACCTGGACGTTGTTGCGTGGAATAGAGCTGTACATATCTTCAATTCTGAGGTGTCCATTGAGTATCCTTGCCTCAATTATTCAGTATAGATAGTCCAACCTGGTGCTTCGAACTGATACTACCTTATTTCCGAGACGCCGGCAGCAGCGAAAGCCTGGACCTTTAGTAATCAAGCTGCAGCTAGTTTCTTATCGCTTCGAATTATTCTCCTTGCACCCTCAGAGAAAACCCGCCAGTCTCGTATTTGAAATCACTGGCATTTCTGGGTTCTTAATCTCAGTTAATTCCCTCTCCTTTCCCGTTGCCAGACGGTTCAGGGATCTTTGGAGTTGGGTCGTTTGTCCGAACACCAAGATGCTTGATGGCAACCCCCAGGTGATCCTAGGGAATTCCCATTCCGCACCACTTTCATCATCGACTTTGGAATCTCCCTTCAGTTCCTCAAGAAAACTTCAGCCTTTTTGTGGTGATGTCGAGGGTTGGGGTCCAATAAGCAAATACAGATTCGATCTTACACCATGTTTCCTGGACTTTGGAGTAGCTCTGGTTGCGGCATGGGGCTTGCTTATGGGAGCAGGTGCCATTTGGTTCCTATTGAAGAAGCGTGCGCCTCAGCCCGTGTCGAAGAATTGGCATTTCTATGCTAAACTGGTAAGATCTTCTCCTTAGAATGGATGTTTGGAGCGTCCGAGCCCGATCATTATCTAACGTACGCATTCCTCGCTCATAGATTGTGCTGGGCGCCCTGATCTTCACGACTGCCCTACAAGCCGCAATCCAAGCTGAGTCCGCTCCTCGTCTTTTTTTGGCTGATTTTCGCTTCTGGAGTTCCATTCTGGTGTTCGTTTCTCTTGGCGTGATATTTGCGGTACAATATTACGAGCACTGGCGCAGCAGACAGCCCAACGGAGTTGTCCTGTTCTACTGGCTCTTCTTTACCATCGCTTACGGCGTCAAATTGCGATCGCTGGTCTCGCAAAAGGCGTATGAGGATCAACTCCCATATTTTGTTTGCATCAACGTCAGCCTCGGTCTGGCGCTGTTGGAATTCGGACTCGAATACCTCGTCCCAAAAAAGCAGAGTGCGTACGATGCCTTGGGTGATGAGGATGAATGTCCGTACGAGTACGCGGATATCTTTGCAGTCCTCACCTTCAGCTGGATGACACCGTTGATGAAATTCGGTTACAAAAACTATCTTACTCAGGATGATCTGTGGAATCTGCGGCAGCGCGACACCACTCGCGTCACAGGGGACATTTTGGAGGAAAACTGGGCGGAAGAGCTGAAAAAGTCGAAGCCGTCTCTGTGGCTGGCGTTGATGAAATCGTTCGGTGGCCCGTACCTGCGCGGCGCAATCATCAAGTGCGGAAGCGACGTACTTGCCTTTGTTCAGCCGCAACTCTTGCGCCTCCTAATCGGATTCATAAAGTCGTATAAGACTGATGAACCTCAGCCCGTGATCAGTGGTGTGGCCATCGCGCTGGCGATGTTCTTGGTCTCGGTAACACAGACCATTTGTCTGCACCAATACTTCCAAAGGGCGTTTGATACCGGTATGCGCGTCAAGTCAGCCTTGACTGCCATGATCTACACCAAGTCTCTAAGACTTTCGAGCGAAGGGCGTGCATCCAAGACCACAGGTGATATTGTCAACCATATGGCTGTCGACCAGCAA